TCCGAAAATGCTTTCACTGCTCGGATACTATAAAAATAAACTGACAGCCAAAAGAAACGTTACCAACGATATTTCTAGGATAAAATATGACCAAAACAAATTGAAGCAGCAATAACAATTGTATTGTAGAAATACATAATTCAGAACAGTAAATTGCGAATTTACTAATTCAACAACAAAGTCCTTGACCTCCAACAGGGACATTTCTTGACAAGGGATTCGTCCAGTATTCGATCAACAACATTGGTTACAACTTTAATGTGACGACGGCCCAGACCGTTCAATACGGGATATGACCTTAATGAGCGGCAATGCATCTTCGAATGAGGCGTCGCACTGAGTAGACAAGCGTCCTCACATCGACTGCAGGTTTCCGATTCCATTCCTCACGGAGGGCAACGATCGTGAAGGGAGGATGTTGACGTTTCCGAAGACGACGCCCCAGCTGGTCCCAGAGATGTTCTGTGGGTGACAGATCTGGTGTTCGAGCTGGCCACGGCAGGACAGTCACGTTGTTGGCGTTGAGGAAGTCTCTAGTAATACGGGCTTTATGGGGTGTGGCGTTATCTTGTTGGAACACCGTCCGTTGTTGTCGCTGGGTGAAAGGAAGATATTGTCAATGTAGCGTTGTGCTGTCAGATTGCCTTCGATGATGACAAGTTCCGTCTTCTCGTCTCCGCAAATGTCGCCCCAGACCATCACACTTCCGCCCCCGTAAGGTTCCACCTCCTGGACACAACAAGGAGCCGTACGTTCACCACGTCGTCGATACACTCGCGTCCGCCCATCAGGTTTGAAGAGTTGGAACCTGCTCTCGTCACTAAACAGCACTCGCCGCCATTCCCTTTGTTGCCATCGCTGAGTTGTCTGCACCACGTCAATCTGGCACGTCGATGTTGACGGGTCAAGGTCATGCCTTTGAAAGGGCGATAAGCCCGGAGACCATAATGTCGTAGTCGTCTGGTCACTGTTTGTCTGCTGGCCGGATGTCCTAAGCTGTTGGCATCTGATGACGTCACAGTAAGAAATCTGTTCCTCAGATGACGTACCCGTAAAAAGCGGTCATCCTGCGGGGTCGTGACCTATGGTCTGCCACTCCGTGGTCTGTCTGCGGTTCTGCCAGTCTGTCGGAGACGTGAGACCAGTCTGGTAATGGTCATCTTGGAGCAGTTCATGTTAATGGCAACCGCTCTCTGTGTCGCTCCAATCTGCAGCATACCTATGGCTCTCTCCTTCTGGACAGCGGTCAGTCTTGGCATGTTCGTTGGTGTTAATCATCGCAACCATTGATAGGGAACAGATCCCTGCGTAATTTATACCCGGAAATTGCACGATAATTTGGGGAAGATTGTTTTAAAAAATTGCTGAAAAAACCCAATATTTCCCAAAATCCGCAAAGCACGTGCAAAGAACGACAGAGAACATGAAGGCTGTATTCGTGAAATGTGTTCTTTACTGTTTTTGAACAGGTTGGCATCTTTGTTTCAAAGTGGCAAATCAGTTAATGTTGGTAACGTTTCTTTTGGCCCTCAGTTTATAACCATCTGGGGTATTTCCAAATAACGACATCCGATGAGCTTCCATCGTTATTTTTGTCCGTTTGTTTAGGCTAAAGAAATTAATTAACAGGCGCCCTTTGTCTGAGATTCAGAGATTACAGGTAACCAATCAGTGTTCTTGAACACGGTAGTCCAGTCTCTTGTCACGCTCAGTTGCGTCAGTGAGCAAATCGGCAGATGGTGAGCCCCAGCTGGCAGTGTTAGACAGCCGAGAAGAAGATTAGTGCCCCTTTAAACCGACAAGCCGGGATATAACTAAAATATACACACTGTTCAAAGCAGTGTTAAGCCAAACTCACTCACTTATTCAGAGTCATGCTGGTCCCCCAGGCTGGATATTGGGGGTACTTTTCCAGTATAAGCATGCCTGTCATTTGAATGTTAAGGCCGCAATAAAATTAATAGTTACAGTTTGATTGATTTTTTAAAAAACATGGGAGACAGGAGGCATTTTATTTTTAACGTTTTTAATTTGTTCTTATCGACCTACTTTAGGCATATGTGTACAATTGCTGTCGGCGGAAGCGATTCGCATGCATCATGTGTGCTCACTGGGGCTACGTGTACGGAGTATTTTATCAGGTAAAGAAAGTAGGAACACTCATATTAACGATACTTCTATTTCTAGGAATTTGAGGGCATTAGCATAATGTAAGGCAGGATGTTTTGTTGTCAGGCGGGAGCGGATGAAAATCTATTTATTAAAGTAGCGAATATGGTATCGTATAAAAAAACCCAAAAAAACAACATCGGACAATATCATTTTATCCGAATGCTACAAATTGGTCTGTGAGAATTTTATTTTAATGAATATTCTAGCCGTGTATAAAATTGCCTCATTGAGAAACTCACTGGCTTGTGATTATTTCTGTAACTGACAGTGTAGCCGCGAATAACTGCAATACTGCTGATGCGGCTTTAAGCAATATTACTCACTCACTCACTGACGGTAATAGTTATGTTTCCAGCTTTCGGACACATTTATGTTTTCACCATCATTGGACATTCATGTACACAATTTCTTTTGTTAAATTATATTGAGCATGTTTAGGGTTTTATTATAAAGTACATAGGAAACGGTAACAACGGGAGATGACTCAGACTTTGTGTATGTAAATTACATAGCATTTTCAAGCTCAAGTCATAAGTTTGCTAAATACTACTTGGAGAATGAAGAGCATGAAAGAAGCATGACCAAAGGACTACTAACGTGCGCATGCGCTTGACCTTATGATATTACGCATGCGCACGGACAGCGTCTAAAACGCGAGAACACGAGAACGCGAGATCGCGAGAAAATGAAATGTCGCATTCTCGCGTTCTCGCGATTTCGTTATTTTGTGGCCTAATTTGACAAGTCGAGATTGCGAGATTGCGAGATTTTGCATCATGTCCAAATGTCGCATTCTCGCGTTGTCGACTTTTGACAAAAAATGCTATGTACCAAAAACACGAGAATGCGAGATCGCGAGAACGCGAGATTTTGGCCAAATCTCGCGTTCTCGCGATCTCGCATTCTCGTGTTTTGGGCATATTTACCTCGTTTCCAAAGGTCGAGATCGCGAGAATGCGAGATCGCGAGAATGTCCCTTACAGTATTCCATAAGGATCAGTGATATATGTAACTCTAAATGAAATCTAAAAATATCCACTATTGATGTTGGAACCCCTGTATAGACTCCTAGTCGTATGGGTACTGATATCCTAATAGAACAGAATCTATTTCGTATAGTCTTGGCATGAGGCCTTAAGTACAGATCCCAATCACAGTTTGGTTTTAGAGAGGGTCATTCCACAACTGATAACATATTTCTTCTTCATTCACAAGCACATAAATATTTAGAGAAGAATGGAGGTAACGTTTACTGTTTGTTTATTGATGTTAAGAAAGCCTTTGATATGGTTGATAGTACAGAATGTGTCCGTCCATCCTAGATGTTGGTTCACAGCAGTGCGTCCACTAGTTTCACAGGGTACACGTCATCACACCAGCATCCACACATATTCTCACGTCATATTCTCATCGGGGGCACGGGTGGCCCAGTCGTCTAAGGCGCCGCGATTCGCTGTGCAGAGTTGCGTCCCTTGGGCACGCCAGAAAGCTATGATTGTGGGTTCAAATCCCAGCACCATACCCGTGCTCGTGGGTTTCACCGAAGCGGTAAACGTCTGAGACCTGCAGCACTTCGGGCTTTCCTCCCACATTAAGCTGACACGCCGCGATATAACTGGAATACTGTTAAAAGCGGCGTTAAACCCAACTCACTCACTCACTCACCCATATTCTCATCTGAAGACGCGGTCCGGACACTTATTGTCAGTCTTATTCACTCAGCCTCAACAGAATGATTATTGATCACCATTACCTTTGTAGTTAGACAGAGATCAGACACAACGCCAACCCCCCCACCGCCCCACCCCCAACCCACACACACCCCACACCCACCCACATACACACACCCACAGTCCCTCAGCAACCTATGCTGGCGACGTAATGGATAAGGGGGTCGGCTCGGTGATCTGGTTGATGGCGTGTCAACGTACTTCAATAGCTTTGATTGTTGCCCATAATATCAATCACTGGATTATATGGTCGAGAATCGATTAATTACAGGCCACCGCAAAGAGTGCGGCATTAAACAACAACAACCAAGCCAACAAACAAAATCAGTCACCATCAACTCTCAACTGCAGTGAGTTCAGTCTATAGTCAGGTTCCAACATTCATCGCCTAGACAATATGACTGCTGGGGACATGTACTGTTCAAGAAACCCGTGTAGATCCGGGGTAGAATAGGTCTTCAGCAACCCATGCTTGCCGTAAAAAGCGTCTATGCTTGTCGTAAGATGCGACTAGTGGATCGGGTGGTCAGGCTCGCTGACTTGGTTTATGCATGTCTTCGTATCACAACTGAGTGGATAGATGCTCATGATGTCAATCACTGGATTGTCTGGTTCAGACTCGATTATCATAGTGGCGTTGTGAGTGAACTGGATAGGATGCACTCTCCATGCCAATTTACAGGTGACTGGTCCTCTAGCATCTTACACTGAATGAATATTAACTTTTGATCTATTTATATGCATGACATGGCATATACCAGTCGATATCAGGTTAACCAGCGGTTGGAGTGCGAGGTGAAGGTTGGAATGTTATACGTATTCTGTCCAGGGCCCCGTTCCATGTCGATCGTAACTCCCATTCTTTAACACTGATTTACGACAGTCGTAGCGCTAAGATCGCTTTGTGGAACGGGTCCCTGAACTCTGCTTACCTTAAGAAATACCGAACAAATAAAACCAGGTCAAGGGGACAATGAAATATGCAGCACGATGCACACTCGTGACTTACTTTAGAAACCTACTTTCGTTTTTACACTTCCTGCTTCCTAGTGTAGCGAAGACAGACAATGACTGATATCGTGCACATAATCTTGTTGTTTAACATCATCAGGAGATAAAACACGAATTTATAGGTTCTTCTTGCATGTGTATTTCTGATTCAAATCAATCATCGATCTGAAGAGGCTGAGTTTGTACTGAGATTGTTGACAGGTGACATTCCGCCCCGAAATAGGTTAGTGTCCGTTTTCCTTTTCGTTGAATCTGATCAGAATCGAGTGACGTTTCGTCGTAATGGACGAGTTCTGTTGCATGGAGGAACTGAAACAAAAACAATTATTTACATCATTGAAATGTAAGTTCCATGCATATTAACGTCGCCTAGGTGAGTAGCCTAGTAAAATTGCCTCGCGTTCTACGATACGAAGCACGCCATTTTGTTTTAAGACCGGTTTATCCGTTTACACACAATGACTGTATGAACGACACACTGCCTCTTCCGGTAATGGCTTGCGTCGTGACTTGTTTTCGCTTGTTTAATTACTTTCCACAACTATATTACACGATGACATTGCATTAGCCGCGATAATATTAATGAGGCGTTTTTTAAAAAAGTGTTGACAAACAGGGATTTAAGGCACTTTTATTCTGTTGCTATTTATGTTGACTAGTTGATGTGAAAAAATACAAAAATATTTTTACTTTTCAACGATGCATTCATTAACAGTTCACGTAATATTATACTTCTATTTCATGTATGTTACCACAACCCACCACATAACACAACACCACATAAGACAACATAACCCCCCTACCTCGTGACATAACACCATACCACATAACACCACACCACATAAGACAACATAACCCCCCTACCTCGTGACATAACATCATACCACATAACACCACACCACATAACACTACACCACATCGCCCTACACCATACCACATAAACCTATACCACACCACATAACACCATACCACACCACACCACACCACACCACACCACATAACCCCCTACCACATCACATAACACCACATCACACCACATAACCCCATACCAAACCACATAACCCCACACTACACCACACCTCATAACCCCCTACCTCATCACATAACACCACACCATATAACACCATACCACATAACACTACACCACATAACCCCCTACCACATCACATAACCCCCCTACCACACAACATAACCCCACATCGTACCACATAATCCCACACCACACCACACCCCACCGTGCCCCAACCCAGACCGCACAACACACCAACCCACACACGACATAACCCCACACCATGTAACCCTACACCATACAACATAACCCCATACCACACCAAGCCTCACCACACAACACACCAACCCACACAAGACATAACCCTACACCATGTAACCCTACACCATACAACATAACCCCATACCACACCAAGCCTCACCACACAACACACCAACCCACACACGACATAACCCCACACCATGTAACCCTACACCATACAACATAACCCCATACCACACCAAGCCTCACCACACAACACACCAACCCACACACGACATAACCCCACACCATGTAACCCTACACCATACAACATAACCCCATACCACACCAAGCCTCACCACACAACACACCAACCCACACACGACATAACCCCACACCATGTAACCCTACACCATACAACATAACCCCATACCACACCAAGCCTCACCACACAACACACCAACCCACACACGACATAACCCCACACCATGTAACCCTACACCATACAACATAACCCCATACCACACCAAGCCTCACCACACAACACACCAACCCACGCCACACCATGTAACCCTACACCATACAACATAACCCCATACCACACCAAGCCTCACCACACAACACACCAACCCACACCACACCATGTAAACCTACACTATACCACATAACCCCATACCAAACCAAACCACACCACACAACACACCAACCCACGCCACACAACACAACACAACCCCATACCACACCAAGCCTCACCACACAACACACCAACCCACACACGACATAACCCCACACCATGTAACCCTACACCATACAACATAACCCCATACCACACCAAGCCTCACCACACAACACACCAACCCACACAAGACATAACCCCACACCATGTAACCCTACACCATACAACATAACCCCATACCACACCAAGCCTCACCACACAACACACCAACCCACACACGACATAACCCCACACCATGTAACCCTACACCATACAACATAACCCCATACCACACCAAGCCTCACCACACAACACACCAACCCACACACGACATAACCCCACACCATGTAACCCTACACCATACAACATAACCCCATACCACACCAAGCCTCACCACACAACACACCAACCCACACACGACATAACCCCACACCATGTAACCCTACACCATACAACATAACCCCATACCACACCAAGCCTCACCACACAACACACCAACCCACACACGACATAACCCCACACCATGTAACCCTACACCATACAACATAACCCCATACCACACCAAGCCTCACCACACAACACACCAACCCACACAAGACATAACCCCACACCATGTAACCCTACACCATACAACATAACCCCATACCACACCAAGCCTCACCACACAACACACCAACCCACACAAGACATAACCCCACACAATGTAACCCTACACCATACAACATAACCCCATACCACACCAAGCCTCACCACACAACACACCAACCCACACACGACATAACCCCACACCATGTAACCCTACACCATACAACATAACCCCATACCACACCAAGCCTCACCACACAACACACCAACCCACGCCACACCATGTAACCCTACACCATACAACATAACCCCATACCACACCAAGCCTCACCACACAACACACCAACCCACACCACACCATGTAAACCTACACTATACCACATAACCCCATACCAAACCAAACCACACCACACAACACACCAACCCACGCCACACAACACAACACAACCCCACACCACACCATATAACCCTTCACTACACCACATAACCCCACAACACACCAACCCACGCCAACCCACGCCACACCATATAACCCTTCACCACACCACATAACCCCACAACACACCAACCCACACCAACCCACACCACACCACATAACCCTAAACAACACCACATAACCCCACACCAACCCACATAACCCCATACCACACCAAGTAACCCCGAACCAACCACACCCCACAACACACCAACCCAGACAACACCACATCACACCACACACCAAACCACACCACACAACACAACACACTATCAACACAACACAAACAACACCACACAACACCACACCTTACCACACCAAACAACACCACACCTAACCACTCCACTCTAAACCAAACAACACCACACTAAACCACACCAAAGCACACACCACACCACACCACACCACACCACACCAAACAACAACACCCCACACCACACCACATCACACCACACCACACCACACCACACTAAACCACACTACACCACACCACACCACACCACACCACACCACACCACACCACACCAAACAACAACACCCCACACCACACCACACCACACCACACCACACCACACCACACTAAACCAAACTACACCACACCACACCACACCACACCACACCACACCACACCACACCACACCACACCACACCACACCACACCACACCAAACAACAACACCCCACACCACACCACATCACACCACACCACACCACACCACACTAAACCACACTAAACCACACCACACCACACCAAACAACAACACCCCACACCACACCACACCACACCACACCACACCACACCACACCACACTAAACCACACCACACTACACCACACCACACCACACCACACCACATCACACCACACCACACCACACCACACCACACCACACTAAACCACTCCACACCACACCACACCACACCACACCACACCACACCACACCACACTAAACCACACCACACTACACCGAACCACACCACACCACACCACACCACACCACACCACACCACACCACACCACACTAAACCACACCACACCACACCACACCACACCACACCACACCACACCACACCGCACCATACCACACCACACCACACCACACCACAACACAACACAACACAACACAACACAACACACCACACCACACCACACCACACTAAACCACACAACACAACACACCTTTCTCAATACCTCATGGAATACTACCCTCTAACCAAACGTTCTTTTTACGACACTCACCGTGCACCATTCGACGGCGCCCGAACCCGCTCCCAACTAATCCAAACACGAGTTGCAGTGTTCCACGCTGTGGTTTCCGTTCCAAGACAGGAACAAGTCGTCAGCTGTGTGTATTTCATGGTAAATTATAACTTACGGGTTTATATACCACGTAAGTCACCTATCGTATGTCGGCTCGGAGTCAGTATACTGTGTCTGACTGGGGTATTCATGTTAAACCTCAGCATAGTATTTCAGTGAGCTAGCACTTTAAATCGGCATCAGTCCGGACTAGTACAAGCAGCCACACACACACACGTGCATGCACGTCACTATATACGTACACTAATTTTGGACGCGATGTTAAACCCAATTTAACCTCACTTCACCTCGATCGTGTATCAAAACCAACTAGACATTCACTGTGTGTTAAACACCGATTAACAGAGGAATGTCTGAGTGGTAAAGATGTACAGGCAGGCTCTACCCAGTTATGATCAGTGTTTGGAACACTTGACACGTTTTTTATGGGTACACACTGGACACGGTTTTTTATGGGTACACACTTGACACGTTTTTTTATGGGTACACACTTGACACGTTTTTTATGGGTACACACTGGACACGTTTTTTATGGGTACACACTGGACACGTTTTTTATGGGTACACACTGGACACGTCTTTTATGAAGCCCCATAACATCTCGTCACTGTCACCAGTTAATATTGAAAACGTGTTACAAATATAACCTGTTATAAATAAGTGCACTTACTCATTGATCATCTCCTCATTTCAGTGACCTTGACCTCACAGTGGAATTAAAGCCCGATAAATCAAACAGCGTCCAGCCCCAGACGACGTCCAGCGTCCAGCCCGCGATGTTGTAGCCAGTGACACTGTTACACATTGTATATATGGACGTTTGCAGCACGGGACTATACATGCCACGTGAACATATAAACCAGAAACCACAATCTATAAAATGGAAAAGTCTCATCCATCCACACATCTGAAATTTTCTGTCAAAGTTGGCACTGAAACAGTCTGTACCATATTGACGAGAAACGAAAGTGTCGATATTGTAACACATGCCGGTGCAACCGTAACCTGTCAGGCAGTTTCAAAGGAATGCCATGACCAGGCAACCCTGATATCTGAGAGAGAAAACATATGTGACGAAAAGAATTCAGAGATCACTGAGCGTACACAGGAGTGCGAGGAACCAACGGAAAGCAACGTTGACAACGTTGAACTCCTGTTGCAGCTAACGGCTTATATCAATGAAAACAAACAGAACGGTTTGACCCAACGAAGCACTTCAATCTGCAACACAGAACATCAAGACGAAGAGATTGATGAGAGTGATGGCGGAGACACTCCAAGTGGCGTGGTTGAACACGACATGGCTTTACATTCTCCGTGGCTACTAGCAAGGGTCATCACTGCCCTGCAACTATTGCGAGGAGCATGGTCCTCCTTATGGGTACCAAAGCGGTGTGACAGAATGTTGAGAGGGGACCTCATTGACCATCACGCGTCGGTCCCCCCAGAGCCGTTGCCGGCCACCCGTGACGTCGTGATTCGGCAAACGATGGGAGGCAAGCTACTCGGCCGGGAGAGGCAGATTACAAATGTCAGGATGATGTTGGTGCTACCCTGCGACGTGAACTGGGTTCACTTGATCCCAGCAGATCCCCACAACGAGGATAGAATGGCCATTTTAAACATGCCACGGAAAATGGATTTGCACCTGGTTTTTGTAGCAACATGTTTCGTACAGCCTGCGACAGCTGATGTCTTGGACATGCTCACTGTATCCGAGGTTACTGGCACAACACAAGCAGTATCAGGTCAGTATTGTGTCGAGGTCTGTGTGATAATAACACTCCTGGGTGATCACACTGATTGTGTATCGTGGGCTATGGAAGATAAGGCATCGCTAGTGCCATGGGCTGCGGATACCCAGAGCTATTCTGTGTGGAGGCTTATGGAAAATCAAGCCTTTCTTGTACAAGGGCATGTAGACAGCAAGCCTGCTACCGAGACAAGGGCTATGGTAAACCAAGTCTTTCTTTTACAAGGGCATGTAGACACCAAGGCTGCTACTGACTCAAAGGCTATGGTAAACCAAGCCTCTCTTGTACAAGGGCATGCAGACAGCAAGGCTGCTGCTGACACAAAGGCTATGGATAACCAAGCCTCCCTTGAACAAGGGCCTGTAGACAGCAAGGCTTCTACTGACTCAAAGGCAATGGTAAACCAAGCCTCTCTTGCACAAGGGCCTGCAGACAGCAAGGCTTCTACTGACTCAAAGGCTATGGATAACCAAGCCTCCCTTGAACAAGGGCCTGCAGACAGCAAGGCTTCTACTGACTCAAAGGCTATGGTAAACCAAGCCTCTCTTGCACAAGGGCCTACAGACAGCAAGGCTGCTACTGACTCAAAGGCTATGGATAACCAAGCCTCCCTTGAACAAGGGCCTGTAGACAGCAAGGCTTCTACTGACTCAAAGGCTATGGTAAACCAAGCCTCCGTTGAACAAGGGCCTGTAGACAGCAAGGCTTCTACTGACTCAAAGGCTATGGATAACCAAGCCTCCCTTGAACAAGGGCCTGCAGACAGCAAGGCTTCTACTGACTCAAAGGCTATGGTAAACCAAGCCTCTCTTGCACAAGGGCCTACAGACAGCAAGGCTGCTACTGACTCAAAGGCTATGGATAACCAAGCCTCCCTTGAACAAGGGCCTGTAGACAGCAAGGCTTCTACTGACTCAAAGGCTATGGTAAACCAAGCCTCTCTTGCACAAGGGCCTACAGACAGCAAGGCTGCTACTGACTCAAAGGCTATGGTAAACCAAGCCTCTCTTGCACAAGGGCCTGTAGACAGTCAGGCTGATGCTGGCACAAAGGCTATGGTAAACCAAGCCTCTCTTGTACAAGGGTCTCTAGACTGCCTGACTGGTACTGAATCGAGAGCTGTGGAAAACCAGGGCCAGGCCGATACTGTATCGTTGGCGGTCCAAATCAAGCCTACTCTGGCGATAGGCTCTGCAGATAGCCAAACTGATACTATATCAAAGGTTGCGGAACACCAAACCTCTCCAGTGTCACACTGTGTAGACAGCCGTTCCGATACTGTATGGAGAGCTTGTGAAAAGCAAACCTCTCCAGTGCCACGACTTATAAATAGTCAGACAAGTACTGAAATACTGATACTGAAACCGGCTGTGGTGCCAGGAGCTTTGCATATTCAGGCTGTTACGTGTCCAAGACTCTCGGCAACCCAGGCACATGCTGTATCAACTGCTGATACTCAACAGGACCATGTTGACATGGAAGTCCAAGAGACAAAGAAACCTCTCAATGACCTGTCTAACGAAACTAAACCACACCATGACCACATCCATACCGCTTCTTTTAATGACACAACGGCCAACGAAGATACGGGCGATGCAGCCATTCCTGGCGCAAGGATGTCCACAGACCAGAAGACAAGTTCACACAAGCATGGCACCACGGTTATTCACCACCCTGACAGCCGTACACGTCGCAGGAGGAGAAAAGCACCATCGACTCAAAGACGAGACAGAGCGCGGACACAACGATGGATACATAAGAAGGTACTGGAAATCAAGTTGGTATCGTACTGTTAAGTTTCTGTATAATATTTACACCATCTTTGCTTTCTTTTTGGATTTTAACATTTTGTGTTTACGCCGTCGGTTCCAATCTAAACTGCAGGGCATCGATACAAACCAAGAGCCGCGATTCAGAAAACGCATAATGTTTATCGATCTTGAAAAAAGTTGTCAGTAATTTTCCGTAGCTATTTCTTTTGTATAGTAAATGCACGTATTGTTACGGTGGTCATATAGTAGCATTTCTTCACAGATCAATATTCATGGACAGACGAAAGGCGCAGAAAAGCCCAATACGCACACTAGTTCACGTCAGCTGCCCAAACAGGAAGAACGTAAGTAATATTTACATATACCTGGCATATAGGTCATCGTGAAACATGTCCAGGGGCAGTTGTTACACCCATACCCATGGCCTTCTGAAAAGCATTTAAATGCGTGGATGTGTCTGTCTGTCTGTCTGTCTGTCTGTGTTTGTGTTTGTGTGTGTGTGTGTGTGTGTGTGTGTGTGTGTGTGTGTGTGTGTGTGTGTGTGTGTGTGTGTGTGTCTATGACTCGCTCAAGATAAAGCTGAGGAGAACTATCTAGGAGAACTATCCGTGTCGTGTGATTATGTTTTGAATTTCTATCCATTTATACTACTGTACACCAGTGAATCTCACAACTGTATAAAGTGCCAAGATAGTGCTCTAGTGTACAGTAGCATATTTGCAAAGAAATTCACAAAATTATCATATATATATTGCAAGTATATATATTAATAATTAGCTGACATTGCTGATTTTACGGACTTTGTTATACCACTACTAGATACATTGACACCATTTGCCAGTGTTTTATATCTATATTCAGTTAAGTTAAATACACTGGACCCATTTATCACCACAGCTTCGTTTGGGAAATGACGTTACCCTCCCCATCTTTCACAGCAGTAAATTCCCACAGAATGTCTCTTTCACGTGAGTTTGATTTGATTGGAAGGCCAGTGCTCTGTGTGGTGTATCCTTAGAATCGGACCTAACTATTACACTGGATGCTCGAGAACGCATACATATATACACTGAATTATGTGTACTTGTTGTGTCAGGTACCGCCCGCTCTTGCACCGAGTGTGTTGGCATGTTGCTGGACCATGCTGGTACTACCACTGAGATCAACATGGTGAAGGAGGTACTGTCTCTTTTATTAACGCCTATGCTTCACTGGATGACGTTGTACAAAGCGATCTCAGCGCTAGGTGGTCGTAACTCCCATACTTTAACATGGACAGTCGTAGCGCTAAGGTGTCGTACTCCCATACTTTAACATGGACAGTCGTTGCGCTAAGGTGGTCGTAACTCCCATACTTTAACATGGACAGTCGTTGCGCTAAGGTGGTCGTAACTCCCATACTTTAACATGGACAGTCGTAGCGCTAAGGTGGTCGTAACTCCCATACTTTAACACGGACAGTCGTAGCGCTAAGGTGGTCGTAACTCCCATACTTTAACATGGACAGTCGTAGCGCTAAGGTGGTCGTACTCTCATACTTTAACATGGACAGTCGTTGCGCTAAGGTGGTCGTAACTCCCATACTTTAACACGGACAGTTGTTGCGCTAAGGTGGTCGTAACTCCCATACTTTAACATGGACAGTCGTTGCGCTAAGGTGGTCGTAACTCCCATACTTTAACACGGACAGTTGTTGCGCTAAGGTGGTCGTAACTCCCATACTTTAACATGGACAGTCGTAGCGCTAAGGTGGTCGTAACTCCCATACTTTAACATGGACAGTTGTTGCGCTAAGGTGGTCGTAACTCCCATACTTTAACACGGACAGTTGTTGCGCTAAGGTGGTCGTAACTCCCATACTTTAACATGGACAGTCGTAGCGCTAAGGTGGTCGTAACTCCCATACTTTAACATGGACAGTTGTTGCGCTAAGGTGGTCGTAACTCCCATACTTTAACACGGACAGTCGTAGCGCTAAGGTGGTCGTAACTCCCATACTTTAACATGGACAGTTGTTGCGCTAAGGTGGTCGTAACTCCCATACTTTAACACGGACAGTCGTAGCGCTAAGGTGGTCGTAACTCCCATACTTTAACATGGACAGTCGTAGCGCTAAGGTGGTCGTAACTCCCATACTTTAACACGGACAGTCGTAGCGCTAAGGTGGTCGTAACTCCCATACTTTAACATGGACAGTCGTTGCGCTAAGGTTGTCTGGTACAACGTCACCCATAACATCTGTTTACACTGTGTATAACTGTAGAGTTTTATTCTTTCTCTTTTGAGGATTTGTTTGTTTGTTTGTTGTTTAACGCTGCACTCAGCAATATTCCAGCTATATGACGGGGATCTGTAAAATAATCGAATCTGGACCAGACAATCCAGTGATTGACATCATGAGCATCGTTCCACGCAATTGGGATACGACATGCATCAACCAATGCAAGTCAGCGAGCCTGACCACCCGATCCCGTTAGTCGCCTCTTACGACAAGCATAGCCGCCTTTTTACGCCTTTTAATCAAGACCTATTCTGCCCCGGATCTTCACGGGTCACTAGAACGTCATACCATGTATAGTACATCATACCATTGCATGTATTGTGACAAGGCTGGGATCAGTTGTTTGATCACATATTCTGTGAAAATTCATTCAGGAAAATTCATTTCGGAATGGTAGCCTCGTCCAACAGTAGAGCGCGACCGAAAAACTAGTTCACAACCCGGCAGATAATGCTTAATGTGACATTGTCTCGATCCTTTTCCAGCTTGTATTTCACTTTTCCTGGGAAACCCCATCTTCCCGAGGCAAGTGAGTTAACTGTCTATAAAAGTCCAGTGTGGAAACTGGACTTTTAAAGTCAGTTAACTCTCTTGCCTCGGGAAGATGGGGAAACCCACGAAAGACACTTCTCAATACCCGCTCGTCAAAACTGTCCAGCTTTTCCTTCTTTGGTTTTGGGATGGTCCTCTTTGGATCGTCATCTGCAGGTTGTAAACGTCTATCAGGGGAGAAAATTCGGGAAACAACTGAGGGATATCCAGGGTTTTTCTGTTTTTGATTCACGTTTGAAAAAATGCAATGCATCTTACGAATGATAACACGAGCATCCCATAATAACATATCCCAACCTTACACAAGATTCCTCGCCAGTAGCGATACTGTTTGTACAGCGAGTTGTAGGGTACTAAGGGTCATGCATGCACAAGTCATTGTTGTGAGACGTAAAGTCTGTTCTTACCCCCGCCCCCGCCCCCACCCCGCCCCAACCCCATACCTCACATACACACATACACACACACTCAAACAGGCACACGCACACGCACACGCACACGCACACACATAAACACACACTCACACACATACACACACACACCACACATACACACACACTCACTCACACACGCACACACATACACACACACCCCACACATACACTACACACACTCACACACGCGCGCACATACACGCACACACACATACCCACTTACACACGCACGCACATACACACACACCACACATACACAAGTGCCAAAATGATGGTTGACGGACACTAACTGCGGTAACCGTATTTCCGTGCTGCTCCCTATAAACGATTTTGATGTAGACTTGTCACTATTTGTAAACGATTAGAATCGCTTGTAGGGAGCAGCGCCGAAATACGGTTACCGCAGGTAGTATTCTACTATTCATAATACATACTATTTGATACTGCAGTACAGTCTTAATTGCAGCACAGCCCTCTAAAACTGCAAGCCTGTTGACCTGATTTGATTCAAATACATGTAAATATGAACTGCAGCTATTTTGGTTATTTAGAATATCGTCTTGGAGTTGGAACCAGGCCAGTTCCCTGACAGAATGAAGACTCTATATGGAGCAGTGGTTGCTCTTCTTCCTAACAGGAAACAGTGGCAGCTGACCAAGTTGATGTAAGTACACACAGTTCTGCAACAGGATATCAGTTTGTATTGGATGGGCCATGTTTATAATAAAAGGTTTTCCATATAATTTGATTCCTGTGACACGAGTGTGAGATAAGAATATGGCTTCCTTAAAATTTGCACGAATGTGAAATAAGAATATGAATTCCTTTAATAGGCACGAATGTGAGATAAGAATATGAATTCCTTAAATTGGCCTTCTCACCCTAACATCTCTTTATACTTTGTTTTAGAAACAACAAATATTGCCAAGTTCTGAATCACAGGTACACATATCTGATGTGTCATAAATGTGCATGGCTGTCAGAAAAGTGTGTTTATGGTTGTGAGTTTCAGTTTATACTGTGATTTACTTTCTCAGGCTTTCCACCGTGAAGGGAGCCCATGAGACGTGTGTCCACAACATGATCAGGGAGCTCAAGGCTGAGGGCAAGAAGCTGGGACATCTGTTACAGTACTTCTCCCAGGAGAACACGAAGCGAGACGACATCATTAAGTTAATTACGCAGATACACCAATGTGATTTCTGCAACCAAACTGCCATGGATGTTATCGGAGGACAATGCCAAGTTTAAGGCAACACTAGGATTTCTTCATGGAATGAGTAGTGGCCTTACGTTTCAAAATCAAGAGACCCTGTGTTCTTTTGCTTCAAGCATAACAGCATATGGTAGTCTAATGTTCTCAATAATGCATCTTCCTGGTATAAAACCGGTTTGAATTTCATGAATATGTGTATTTAATTACTTTTAATTCTATTTGCTATGCAAGTACTCAATATTTTATACAAAGAAGTTAGTAAGGGAATTGGATACCATTTTTTTACAACTGCCTATTCTTGTTTGCTTTGGATATACATGTGACAATGGCTGGGTCAATTGTTGAACTTAACTTTATTTTGCCTGAAAGGTTCTGATATTATCCACAAACGCAAATTTGTTTTCGTTTGAGGAACATTTCAAAGAGAGTCATATAACTCTTGCTGTAAAAAGTATGTTTCATAAGGACTACAACTTTCAAGGCCTCGGTAGAGGTTTATAAACGTTAATCCATAGACACGGGCAGGACATTCAGTGACAAACATAATGCCATGAGCAATTCACTAGTTGACTTGTACCATATGTACCTTGTCTTTGCAAAGGTGAACACTTGCCTTCGCATGTGTTTGTGAATAGTATTTGTCGCTTTTATTTATTGTAGATTCGTAGTGTGGAAAACTATGAGTTAAGGTGCGTTTCGGAAGGACACTTTGGTCTCTGTGTCCAAAGCTATTACCCTGAAATATTTATGTTGTGTCGTATCTTTATCGTATTCCTTATATAATTGTTCTTAATAATTAAATACGTTTAGTTACTTTCGTCAGAGTAGTACTAATGTATCCTTCCTTATATGAAGGGTTATGGTCTAATTTCATAGGACAAAAGATGCTTTAGTAAGTTGTGTCTACCTTGTACTTAACAAGCTTATTTAGATGAGTGTTTCTTTGTCATTTAATTTTTCTCCTTGTATTTGATATTTCTTAATTCACAATATTTTAGGTTTTCCATTCATCAATAAATAATCTCTGTGAATTGATAAGTTTCGATGTCTTCTTTTCTTGTTATGAGAGGGGTAAAAGTATGTGACCGAACGCAATAGATAACTTGTTTTTTATTGTTGTTTTTTAGTTTGTTTGTCTTCTTTTTTTTTCTTTTTCTTTTTCTTTCTTCTTTTTTTTGGGACGGGGGGGGGGAGGGGCGGGGGCGAAATTGGACAAAGGTGACATATGAAACACTTTATGTCTGCCACAGACGAGCGCTGCCCGATTCCCGTCCATTACGATATCTACAAGGGGCCAAGCACACACACCAAGCAGTCGTGTAGCGCCGGGTGATGTTGGGTCTTATTTAGCTTTGGCGAATAAATGGAAAAAAAGATTAAACTTCACTGCGACTAAGTCGGACGTAGGTTTCGGGGTCCCCTGGAAATGAATAAGGTGGCCTTGTCACATTCCGTATCAATTTTGTAAAATATTCTTCCAAAGGCCTGCACTAAGACCTGCGGAAACCTGGACATCTGCAGTGCCTGGATCTGCAGATGCACTGGCCGTTGCGTCTTGTCTTTGGATCTAAACAAAGTGGCATTGTGTCGAGAACCTGGGGAACAGCAATAGGTATTGAGAAAGAATATATCATAACCAGTCTTATGTAGCAATGGCTTTGGAAATTAACGCCAATGTGGTGTTGTGGCTAACACCCTGATACTGGTTCAACCGCTTGGTAAAAAGAGCCATCCTGCTGATGGGCCATTCAACAAACAGCAGGTAGACATTCTGACCTGACCTGACCTGACCTGACCTGACCTGACCTGACCTGACCTGACCTGACCTGACCTGACCTGACCTGACCTGACCTGACCTGACCTGACCTGACCTGACCTGACCTGACCTGACCTGACCTGACCAGCAAAGTGGGTCAGTGTTCATATTAAGACTCTGGATGAACAACAAAACAAGCACACGAACGGGAAGCCATTGCTGTACACATGAAAACGTTCGAGAAATGAGAAAGTTGGACATCAACTTGAGGGAGAGGCAAAACACGCCATCAGCCATGGCTGAGTAGAAGTTTAACCTTTTAATCGAACATGTGCTGTTTACATGCATAAGCTCATAACTGTTGGTTATGTGGTAAATTGTTTGCCCTGTTAGTGAACATAAAGCATTTCTCAAGATAGCTTGCGCCTCATATTGCACTTCCCTTTCAGACTACTGAACAGGGAAAACTAGAATTGCAACTATTCAGCAACTGGAACTTTCACGGGTGTCCAAAACAAACACCGGATTAACTACAAATAACGCCTATTCACAAGATGATAGAAAGCTCACATTGAAACTGACATTCTAACCGAGGTCCCCAAGAGGAAACACGTACCTATTCTAACCAGGCTCGCCACGAGGAGCAGTTAACTATTCAAACCCTGTGCCCAACGAAGAAACACGGACATAGTCTAACCCTGGCCTCCACGGGGAAACACGAACATATTCTAACCCGGGTCCCCACGGGGAAACACGGACATAGTCTAACCCTGGCCTCCACGGGGAAACACGGACATATTCTAACCCAGGTCTCCACGGGGAAACACGGACATAGTCTAACCCTGGCCTCCACGGGGAAACACGGACATATTCTAACCCGGGTCCCCACGGGGAAACACGGACATAGTCTAACCCTGGCCTCCACGGGGAAACACGGACATATTCTAACCCAGGTCTCCACGGGGAAACACGGACATAGTCTAACCCTGGCCTCCACGGGGAAACACGGACATATTCTAACCCGGGTCCCCACGAGCCAATTGGGATCGACTCAACAAAATTCTCCTTGTTTAAAAAAATGAATACTATGTTTATTTTTTTGGCTTGATATTAACAGCATCTCAACAGTTTGAATAAATGGGCGCGGCCTTTTATCTTCATCAGGCCAAGGCCAGACAGACTAGGGGTGAGCACCCATGTCGGGCTACGATGACATACAACCAGCCAGGTCACAACCAGGGACTTGTCATGATCTGATTTCGTATCGCCCATTTAAGCCGCTTTGTATTGATGAAAGCGTAAACTTATCTACTCATGAATTTGTATGATGTCAAATAATACACTGCTTTATACCTCAAGAGCCACACACACGCACGCGCACACGCACACGCACACGAACACGAACACACGAACACTCACCAATATGTGTTAGCGTCCTTCGAGTTATATATTCCCCGCTGAACAGGTGAGCCAAACCTTGGAAATGTATTGATTACCTCCCTTAGACCATACAACAGCCTTTGCTTTATTGGGCTTGGTTCAGCGTTGTGTCACATTGTACTTTCTCTTTCGATACAGGAAGAACAGCAGAACGCATGCGCATTACGACTTGTAGATCCTACACTTTAACTTTCGTTTTAATACCTATGTAGGTAAGTGGAAACATCAAGCATGTTTTATTTATTTTTTCTGTGGTAGTCACATATTTTATGTTGTTTTCGTAAGTCGGGGCATTTCTCTCCTGAGGTATTTTACTATGTGTTTAATGACGTTGAATCTTATCCCGTGTCTCAGTGAGATGAGATCTGCAGATACATTGCCTACGATGCACAGATCACATAGATGTGTGTCTGATGAAGCTGTACTCAGTGGGGATGCGGGGAATGGACATCGGTCCCAGCAACCTATGCATGTCGTAAGAGGCATACCCAGTGGGGATGCGGGGTATGGGTATAGGTCCCAGCAACCTATGCATGTCGTTAGAGGCATACCCAGTGGGGATGCGGGGTATAGGTATAGGTCCCAGCAACCTATGCATGTCGTAAGAGGCATACCCAGTGGGGATGCGGGGTATGGGTATAGGTCCCAGCAACCTATGCATGTCGTTAGAGGCATACCAAGTGGGGATGCGGGGTATGGATATCGGTCCCAGCAACCTACGATGTCGTTAGAGGCATTCCCAGTGGGGATGCGGGGTATGGGTGTAGGTCCCAGCAACCTATGCATGTCGTAAGAGGCATACCCAGTGGGGATGCGGGGAATGGATATAGGTCCCAGCAACCTATGCATGTCGTAAGAGGCATACCCAGTGGGGATGCGGGGAATGGATATAGGTCCCAGCAACCTATGCATGTCGTAAGAGGCATACCCAGTGGGGATGCGGGGAATGGATATAGGTCCCAGCAACCTATGCATGTCGTAAGAGGCATACCCAGTGGGGATGCGGGGTATGGATATAGGTCCCAGCAACCTATGCATGTCGTAAGAGGCATACCCAGTGGGGATGCGGGGAATGGATATAGGTCCCAGCAACCTATGCATGTCGTAAGAGGCATACCCAGTGGGGATGCGGGGAATGGATATAGGTCCCAGCAACCTATGCATGTCGTAAGAGGCATACCCAGTGGGGATGCGGGGAATGGATATAGGTCCCAGCAACCTATGCATGTCGTAAGAGGCATACCCAGTGGGGATGCGGGGAATGGATATAGGTCCCAGCAACCTATGCATGTCGTAAGAGGCATACCCAGTGGGGATGTGGGGAATGGATATAGGTCCCAGCAACCTATGCATGTCGTTAGAGGCATACCCAGTGGGAATGCGGGGTATGGATATAGGTCTCAGCAACCTATGCATGTCGTAAGAGGCATACCCAGTGGGGATGCGGGGAATGGATATAGGTCCCAGCAACCTATGCATGTCGTTAGAGGCATACCCAGTGGGAATGCGGGGTATGGATATAGGTCCCAGCAACCTATGCATGTCGTTAGAGGCATACCCAGTGGGGATGCGGGGTATGGATATAGGTCCCAGCAACCTATGCATGTCGTTAGAGGCATACCCAGTGGGAATGCGGGGTATGGGTATAGGTCCCAGCAACCTATGCATGTTGTTAGAGGCATACCCAGTGGGAATGCGGGGTATGGATATAGGTCCCAGCAACCTATGCATGTCGTTAGAGGCGACTTAATGGATTGGCTGGTCGGGCCCGGTGTCTTGACTGGTAGCAGCTAATCGTATCTCAATTGCGTGGATCGATGTTTGTGTTCCCAATCACTGGATTGTGTGGCCCAGACTCAACCATTTACAGACCGTTGTCAAATAGCTGGACTATGAATGGATGTGGCATTTAACAACACACACAAATCATGTTACTATATATACTACAATACTCTAACGTGGTACTATTTTAAGACGGACGTGGAAATACTCATTTGTCGGTCTATTTCTGGCCATCAAAAACGGTTCAATGGAAATTTCTGGCAAATATTATATCTTATATTACATCTACTCGATAATTGATTGAAGTTATTTCAGAAGATGCCCACCTTAATACTTTTTAAACGACAAGTTGTTTTTTTCAAAAATGGTATAATTGCAATCTAAAATTGAGTTATCTAAGTCGTTGAACACAAACATTAAAAACCTCATGTCTCATTTGTATGGATTGACGTACGTGATACTAATCCTGGACTATGACTGCGGAATATATTTATTTTATGAAAGAAAGAAAAACAATCTAGCAACGTATGCAAAAGCAAGTCTAGCCAGCTCTAGCTAGCTCTATTCCACAGCATATTTTGTAATCATATTTAGAATCGAGAAGGGTATTGTGTAATACAGGATTTCCTATACTAAATGTTCGTCTAACGTGATACTTGTATGATGACCTATTTTCAGTTTATCAAGTGGCGCCACCTCAGCGTTCACATCTCCTTGGTCTGTATGTTACCATCTCACTTAGTTCCGTCACCGCATCCTTGGTCTGCGTGCAACTGAGATGGACAGCGGCATCGGCAGTAAGGAACATCCCACCCTAGGCGCGGGGCCGAATGGAAGGGAGGCTGCTGGAAGGGAGGCTACTGGAAGGGAGGCCACTGGAAGGGAGGCTATTGGAAGGGAGGCTACTGGAAGGGAGGCCACTGGAAGGGAGGCTATTGGAATGGAGGCTAATGGAAGGGAGGCCACTGGAAGGGAGGCTATTGGAATGGAGGCTATTGGAAGGAGGGCTACTGGATGGGGGGCCAGGAATTGTGGCGACCTGTTGGGTGTGTCTCGCGGCGAAAGATCACAAGGTAGGCAGATCAGAAGGTGCTCACAACGTCATGAAGTTTATGTGGACAATGATGTTTCCTACGTGTACAGTTTTCATACAGAGATTTATTATTGTATCCCCTATATTGCTCCTAATATCAATCACCGGATTGTCTGATCCAGACTCGATTATGTACAGGCCGTCTTCATATATATATGGCATGTTACTGAATGCGGCGTTAAACAACGAACAAACATTTCTGCGTGTTGAAACCACCCATCATGATATCCGATGGCCTGTCGCCAGACTCTTAAAGGTCACAGGTTCCTGTTGTTTGACAACGTGATACACATTACAGCGATTGGCGTCGGTTGTAATTTTACAAACATTTCAAATCTGGAGAAGGGGCCTCTTTCGGTTCTCTCTTTAAGTCGACCCGTGAAGATTCCGGGGTAGAATAGGTCTTCAAAACCCTAATTGCCGTAAAAGGTGACTATGCTTGTCGTAAAAGGCGGGTGGTCAGGCTCGCTGACTTGGTTGATGCATGTCATCGATCTCAATTGCGTGGATCGATGCTCATGATGTCAATGGTCCAGACTCGATTATTTACAGACCGCCGTCATATAGCTGGAATATTGTCGAGTGCGGCGTTAAACAACAAACCAACCAACCAATCTTTTTAAGTCATCGATCATTAGACTGTGTCTAGGTTCAGCAGCAGTTTTCTGTCCGCTAGATGGGATGAATCCAGTAGCCAGTAGCGACGGTGGGGGGCAAATGGCAGAATATCAATTGGCATTTCCGGAACTGTACCAGCCCCTGCAGTCTGATTCGGGCAGTGACCAAGATGATTTACCGTCATCCAAACTATTTGACAAAGGTGAGCCGCAGGATTGATGAATGTCGTGCTAAAGTACTCACGGAAATGAAAATAAAATGTTTTTTCGACCTCAGATCTTAAATAAATGCAGTTATTATACAAAATATGTAAATATTAAAACAACTAAATTAGTACTAATTGGGCCTTGGCACAAATATAGCGGATCAAATGTTTTTATGCCTTTTTACACGTAAAAATGTGTAAAAATGTGAATAAAACAGACTATTGTGAAACAGGGCATAACCAGGTGTAAGTAGATCAAGGTGACCTATGACACCTTGACGACAGGTGAGAACAGGTGCATAATGCCTATAGTCTGTTTCTGCTATGTCAATTTGGACAGTTTTATTTTTGAATGTTGAAAGTGCCGACAAATTACCTCCTGTAAAGTAATTTTGTATTGTTCACTTAGACCAAACTAGCAAATCCAGACTAGTACTTTTCGAGTTGTTTTGTTATTTCGTATTTACAGCTATGTAACAGGTTTTTTTCAGTTCCGTGAGTTCTTTTTTTTTTTAGTGAGAGAGTGAGTGTGGTGTTACTCCGCTTTTAGCAATATTCCAGCAATTTTACGGCGGGAGACACTCCTTGACTTCATACATTGTACCCGTGTTGGAATTGAACCCGGGCCTTCTCCATTGCCCTCGATGTCTTTGTAGACACCCATGTCTCTAGATATGTTGAGTCATCTTTCATACAGTAATACAGTAAATACAGTAATACAGAAAATACAGTAAATACAGTAATTACACTAATACAATAAATACAGTAAATACAGTAATTACACTAATACAGTAAATACGGTAAATACAGTAATACAGTAAATACAGTAATTACACTAATACAGTAAATACGGTAAATACAGTAATACAGTAAATACAGTAATTACACTAATACAGTAAATACAGTAAATACACTTATACAGTAATACAGTAAATACAGTAAATACAGTAATACAGTAAATACAGTAAATACAGTAATTACACTAATACAGTAAATACAGTAAAAACAGTAATTACACTAATACAGTAAATACGGTAAATACAGTAATACAGTAAAAACAGTAATTACACTAATACAGTAAATACGGTAAATACAGTAATACAGTAAATACAGTAATTACACTAATACAGTAAATACAGTAAATACACTTATACAGTAATACAGTAAATACAGTAATACAGTAAATACAGTAAATACAGTAAATACAGTAATACAGTAAATACAGTAATTACACTAATACAGTAAATACGGTAAATACAGTAATACAGTAAATACAGTAATTACACTAATACAGTAAATACGGCAAATACAGTAATACAGTAAATACAGTAATTACACTAATACAGTAAATACAGTAAATACACGTATACAGTAATACAGTAAATACAGTAATACAGTAAATACAGTAAATACAGTAATACAGTAAATACAGTTAATACAGTAATTACACTAATACAGTAAATACAGTAAATACAGTAATTACACTAATACAGTAAATACGGTAAATACAGTAATACAGTAAATACAGTAATTACACTAATACAGTAAATACGGAAAATACAGTAATACAGTAAATACAGTAATTACACTAATACAGTAAATACACTTATACAGTAAATACAGTAATACAGTAGATACAGTAAATACAGTAATACAGTAAATACAGTAAATACAGTAATACAGTAAATACAGTAAATACAGTAATTACACTAATACAGTAAATACAGTAAATACAGTAATTACACTAATACAGTAAATACGGTAAATACAGTAATACAGTAAATACAGTAATTACACTAATACAGTAAATACGGTAAATACAGTAATACAGTAAATACAGTAATTACACTAATACAGTAAATACAGTAAATACACTTATACAGTAATACAGTAAATACAGTAAATACAGTAATACAGTAAATACAGTAATTACACTAATACAGTAAATACAGTAAATACACTTATACAGTAATACAGTAAATACAGTAATACAGTAAATACAGTAATACAGTAAATACAGTAAATACAGTAATACAGTAAATACAGTAAATACAGTAATTACACTAATACAGTAAATACAGTAAATACAGTAATTACACTAATACAGTAAATACGGTAAATACAGTAATACAGTAAATACAGTAATTACACTAATACAGTAAATACGGTAAATACAGTAATACAGTAAATACAGTAATTACACTAATACAGTAAATACAGTAAATACACTTATACAGTAATACAGTAAATACAGTAATACAGTAAATACAGTAAATACAGTAATACAGTAAATACAGTAAATACAGTAATTACACTAATACAGTAAATACGGTAAATACAGTAATACAGTAAATACAGTAATTACACTAATACAGTAAATACAGTAAATACACTTATACAGTAATACAGTAAATACAGTAATACAGTAAATACAGTAAATACAGTAATACAGTAAATACAGTAATTACACTAATACAGTAAATACAGTAATACAGTAAATACAGTAATACAGTAATTACACTAATACAGTAATACAGTAAATACAGTAATACAGTAAATACAGTAAATACAGTAATACAGTAAATACAGTAAATACAGTAAATACACTAATACAGTAAATACGGTAAATACAGTAATACAGTAAATACAGTAATTACACTAATACAGTAATACAGTAAATACAGTAATTACACTAATACAGTAATACAGTAAATACAGTAAATACAGTAATTACACTAATACAGTAATACAGTAAATACAGTAATACAGTAAATACAGTAAATACAGTAATACAGTAAATACAGTAAATACAGTAATACAGTAATTACAGTAATACAGTAAATACAGTAAATACACTTATACAGTAAATACAGTAATACAGTAAATACAGTAATTACACTAATACAGTAATACAGTAAATACAGTAAATACAGCAATACAGTAAATACAGTAAATACAGTAAATTTGAAAATTCTCTAACATACAGTGGAGACGTGTTTCATCAAGATGTTTTCGTCATGAGAGAGAACCCCTCATACCAGATACGTATTTAACAATACATAGGAAACAGCATAATATCTGCCTTCTTGTCGCTGTATGGCCGGACGAGTGTGTAGACAGACAGAGAATCGGTCAAACAAGGAGACCGAGGGGTACATCAGTGTGACGTAAAACGTGGTTTGATAATTGATCCCACATTTCCTCGTACAGTAAATACAGTAATACAGTAAATACAGTAATTACACTAATACAGTAAATACAGTAATACAGTAAATACAGTAAATACAGTAATACAGTAAATACAGTAATACAGTAAATACAGTAATTACACTAATACAGTAAATACGGTAAATACAGTAATACAGTAAATACAGTAATTACACTAATACAGTAAATACGGCAAATACAGTAATACAGTAAATACAGTAATTACACTAATACAGTAAATACAGTAAATACACGTATACAGTAATACAGTAAATACAGTAATACAGTAAATACAGTAAATACAGTAATACAGTAAATACAGTTAATACAGTAATTACACTAATACAGTAAATACAGTAAATACAGTAATTACACTAATACAGTAAATACGGTAAATACAGTAATACAGTAAATACAGTAATTACACTAATACAGTAAATACGGAAAATACAGTAATACAGTAAATACAGTAATTACACTAATACAGTAAATACACTTATACAGTAAATACAGTAATACAGTAGATACAGTAAATACAGTAATACAGTAAATACAGTAAATACAGTAATACAGTAAATACAGTAAATACAGTAATTACACTAATACAGTAAATACAGTAAATACAGTAATTACACTAATACAGTAAATACGGTAAATACAGTAATACAGTAAATACAGTAATTACACTAATACAGTAAATACGGTAAATACAGTAATACAGTAAATACAGTAATTACACTAATACAGTAAATACAGTAAATACACTTATACAGTAATACAGTAAATACAGTAAATACAGTAATACAGTAAATACAGTAATTACACTAATACAGTAAATACAGTAAATACACTTATATAGTAATACAGTAAATACAGTAATACAGTAAATACAGTAATACAGTAAATAAAGTAAATACAGTAATACAGTAAATACAGTAAATACAGTAATTACACTAATACAGTAAATACAGTAAATACAGTAAATACAGTAATTACACTAATACAGTAAATACGGTAAATACAGTAATACAGTAAATACAGTAATTACACTAATACAGTAAATACGGTAAATACAGTAATACAGTAAATACAGTAATTACACTAATACAGTAAATACAGTAAATACACTTATACAGTAATACAGTAAATACAGTAATACAGTAAATACAGTAAATACAGTAATACAGTAAATACAGTAAATACAGTAATTACACTAATACAGTAAATACGGTAAATACAGTAATACAGTAAATACAGTAATTACACTAATACAGTAAATACAGTAAATACACTTATACAGTAATACAGTAAATACAGTAATACAGTAAATACAGTAAATACAGTAAATACAGTAATACAGTAAATACAGTAATTACACTAATACAGTAAATACAGTAATACAGTAAATACAGTAATACAGTAATTACACTAATACAGTAATACAGTAAATACAGTAATACAGTAAATACAGTAAATACAGTAATACAGTAAATACAGTAAATACAGTAAATACACTAATACAGTAAATACGGTAAATACAGTAATACAGTAAATACAGTAATTACACTAATACAGTAATACAGTAAATACAGTAATTACACTAATACAGTAATACAGTAAATACAGTAAATACAGTAATTACACTAATACAGTAATACAGTAAATACAGTAATACAGTAAATACAGTAAATACAGTAATACAGTAAATACAGTAAATACAGTAATACAGTAATTACAGTAATACAGTAAATACAGTAAATACACTTATACAGTAAATACAGTAATACAGTAAATACAGTAATTACACTAATACAGTAATACAGTAAATACAGTAAATACAGCAATACAGTAAATACAGTAAATACAGTAAATTTGAAAATTCTCTAACATACAGTGGAGACGTGTTTCATCAAGATGTTTTCGTCATGAGAGAGAACCCCTCATACCAGATACGTATTTAACAATACATAGGAAACAGCATGATATCTGCCTTCTTGTCGCTGTATGGCCGGACGAGTGTGTAGACAGACAGAGAATCGGTCAAACAAGGAGACCGAGGGGTACATCAGTGTGACGTAAAACGTGGTTTGATAATTGATCCCACATTTCCTCGAACAGTAAATACAGTAATACAGTAAATACAGTAATTACACTAATACAGTAAATACAGTAATACAGTAAATACAGTAAATACAGTAATACAGTAAATACAGTAATACAGTAAATACAGTAAATACAGTAATACAGTAAATACAGTAATTACACTAATACAGTAAATACAGTAATTACAGTAATACAGTATATACAGTAATACAGTAATTACAGTAAATACATTAATTACAGTAATACAGTAAATACAGTAAATACAGCAATACAGTAAATACAGTAAATTTGAAAATTGTCTAACATACAGTGGAGACGTGTTTCATCAAGATGTTTTCGTCATGAGAGAGAACCCCTCATACCAGATACGTATTTAACAATACATAGGAAACAGCATAAAATCTGCCTCTTGTCGCTGTATGGCCGGACGAGTGTGTAGACAGACAGAGAATCGGTCAAACAAGGAGACCGAGGGGTACATCAGTGTGACGTAAAACGTGGTTTGATAATTGATCCCACATTTCCTCGTCAAGGTATTGCCATGGATTAATACTACCAGTTTTATTCAGGACAAACTCGAGCAGCGTTAGCGAGACAACCTTCGCTATCTTCCGCATCTACCTTCTCCGGGTCAGGAACCCCAGGCAGTTCCTACTCCCGCCGGGATGCAGAGTTACATGCCCGGCTCCACCCAGAGGGCGCCTATCAGCAGGAGAGTTATATGGGGACAGGTGTGATGGGTGGTTTCCTAAACAGAGATGGAAGTTCAGCTCAAAGGCAGCCCAGAGTTTATGGACACTCAGGTAGAAAAGCCTTGAAACTTAATAAAGTTATAAAACCTTGCACCCAACACACGTAGATGATTACAGGTAGCTGCTACGGGAATTCCTAAGGTGGTTTGGACTGTAGTTGTATTTATATAACCTGAAAATATAAATTACATGTGCAGTTGTGTCAATGAGGAGCCATATTTCAGTTACATAACATGACGTCAGCCCCAAAGACATGCGACCCGTGAAGATTCCGGGATAGAATAGGTCTTCAGCAACCCATGCTTGCCGTAAAAGGTGACTATGCTTGTCGTGAAAGGCGACTAACGGGATCGGGTGGTCAGGCTCGTTGACTTGGTTGATGCATGTCATCGATCCCAATTGCGTGGATCGATGGTCATGATATTAATCACTGGATTGTCTGGTCCAGGCTCGATTATTTTCAGACCGCCGTCATATAGCTGGAATATTGCTGAGTGCGGCGTTAAACAACAAACCAACCAACCAACTAACCCAAAGTCATGCTGGTCCTAGAGGTTTAATGATACACTATTCAGTCGAATGTTATATTACATTAGATCTCCCAGATATTATTAGAGTTAGTTGCTGCACCCGGGACGAATTGACATGTAGAGACAAATAAACACGTAGTTAGTTATGCAGCAGAAAGCTGATAGCTTAAGAGTGTAAACAAAGAGTAGCCGGCAATATATGATGTTGTTATCCACACCTGTCGCAATAATCCCTACTTTAACTTATAACTCGATTCGCATTATTCCTTTGGGTGAAAAGAACACAGCTCACATTTTTTGTGTAAATAATAAACTCAGCCTCCATCTGCTTGAAAAAAATAATTCAGCCTAATTAAAAAGTTTCGACCGCAATATGGCCATCCTCATCAATACAGAGTATTTCGTTTGCAAAGCCATAATCTTTGACAGCGTCATGACCATGGGACAGTATGCCTGTAACCCTTAATTATGAATAATCATTTCCTATCTTCCCTTGCATGAGGAAATAACAGTGGTTGACTGTGATGTCGTATGACTATTAAGGCATTAAGCATCATATACCCTTACTTTGGATGCCATATTCGCTGAAAATATGTTTTGTCATGAACTTGCATTTGCTTTGTGTTAGAGTGAGTCCTGCTTCTTGGATCTTTTGGAATACTGCCTTGGGGTGATTCAAAGGTTCGAAAATGTTTCAGAAAATATTATGATGTCATCTACATATATTATTATTCGTAGCATGTTATTTGTCACTGTCCAACGGTTTGGGTGCGAAAGAACAGTTCACCCTTCCTTCTATATCCATATCTTTGTAGGCCGGCATGCTGCAAGTGCACCACACGTTTCACTTCAAACCCAAGTTCCACTTTCTGGGTACTGTTGCACGTGCATTACTCAGCAAAGTGTTTTTGATTGTGTTTGGGCGATTGATTCTCAACCATTTTGTAACACCATTCGGGGTTTGGACCCAACGTGTCCAACTTTCAGTTTGGTAACGGTTTCTCAGTTTACATCAAACGTTATGCCATGTAAGTCCTTGTTCCACAGTCTGAGTAATTGAAAGGTACATTCCTCCAGTAGATGGAGTACAAACATGTCAAGTTGACCAGTTTTCTGTCAATTTGAAGATGACTTCACCCTGGATTTTGCAACAAATGGTATTGTAAAACATGGTCTTTTATTATATCAAAATGCATTATTAAACTGCTACTTTCATTGTTCTGTTTCAAAATTACCTACTTCTGTACAGATACTATACTTTAGTGACCAGTGAGAAAACTTTAACATTCGATCCACAGGTTGAATTTCAAACGTAATTTAAAAAGAAATCTAACCCAAACACACACACACACACACACACACACACACACACACACACACACACACACACACACACACACACACACACTTCCAAATGGACCAATGATCCGCCCCTAACTAAATAGTCCACCCACTCACTAACAATCTTTGCATGCCGGGTTTGCCAATCAAATTTATTTCTTTATAGCCAGCGATTGCAACCAGTGTATCGGGTTTCTTACAGACAGTATACAAGACACTACAGATTTAAAGCGAAAAAAGGATGTATGTATTCATTTTGCCTTTAGCTAGATTATAATACAAACTAATATTTCTTCATTCATTCATTCATGTACACATCTATTTTCTCAATAGATGGAACACAAATGAAAAAGCTGTCAGTACCCGAATGCACTATTGATAAATTCGTCTTTTAATGTGATTTGAGGCATTTGAAAAAAATATCCACGACTTTTAGAGTTCAAAACTTATTTTATGCGTACATGTGGGACTTCGACCCCAAGTCATGTAGGACTAAGGGCTGTAAGGGCTGCATGTTTCATATTGAGGGTAGAAGTTAATATGTCATGTCCACAAATCCTCACGAAGTGAAGCTGACATTTTTGAAGATGTACTGATCGAGGCAAAATGTGTTTCTACATTACAGGAAATTATCCACGAGCTGATGCCAAATGCACAGAACTTCCAACAGAAGTCCATAAAAGGTTTAGCAGGTTATTTGAAGGCAGGCACGGATATTCAAATCCGACTCTTGTGGTAAGCATATCTTTAACACGGGATTCTATGCTTGTTCACATATATCTAGACTCAGACAGGGGAGTGTTTGATTTAAGAATACCAGTCGAAGAAAGTAGCAAACAGTCCTTTCTACACTTCACTATGATGTTTGTTGTTTGATGCTGACTACTTGGACCATTGAGTCCTATTCTAACCTGGGGGCACGGTCGGCCCAGTCGTCTAAGGCGTCGCGATTCGCTGTGCAGTGTTGCGTCCCTTGGGCACGCCAGAAACCTATGATTGTTGGTTCGAATCCCGGTTCGCCCCGATTATGTTTCTAGGTTTGTCAGCACTGTACCCGTGCTCGTGGGTTTCACCGAAGTGGTAAACGTCTGAGACCTGCATCACTTCGGGCTTTCCTCCCACATTAAGCTGACACGCCGTGATATAACTGGAATAATGTTAAAAGCAGCGCTAAACCCAACTCACTCACCTATTCTAACCCGGTAGGTCTACGCGGTCCATTATGTTGTATATTCGAGGGTTGGTCAAAAAGTTCTAAGCCGAACAAACATAACCAACAATTGTGAAAGCGTTTTTAATTTTAATTTTAAACACAATCTCCCTGCTTTTTAATGCACTTCTCATATCGATAGTGAAGCTTTTCAATTCCTCTAAAGAAGAAGTTTCTGAAGTCACCCTGAAAAACCCATTCACGGCAGTTTTTGGGTCATCGTTGTCGTCGATGCGCTTTCCACAAAGGTGTTCCTTCAGTTGAGGAAACAGGTGGAAACCACTTGGTGCCAGGTCTGGCGAGTATGGAAGGTGAGGAAGCTCCTTTGCATCCTTTCCAAGTCGAGCGGTGTGAGAAGAGGCATTGTCATGAGTAGTAGAACTCCATAACTTTCTTCACTGATCTTGATCACTGAATTTCGTTGGTGCCGGAGAAGTGGAATGGTGCCATTCCATGGATTGACGTTTTAATTCAGGATCATAGTGGTAGACCAATGTTTCATCACCCGTTTTTAATCTCTCTATTTAGATTTGACGAAATCCTCCTCAATTAGCTCTAAATTGTCTCTGGCAATGTCAGTTCCTTTTTCCTTAATATCAGAAATTAGAAATTAGCAGACATCTTCTTCATCCGTAAATGTTCAAGAATAATAGTTTCAATAGATTTATGGCTTAGACCAGTGTCTTCCCCCAGTTCAGCAATGGTAATACGTCTATCTCACAGTATAAGTTGTTCTATCTCCTTGATTGAATCTTCATTGATGGAAGTTGAGGGACGTCCAGACCAAGGGCCAGCATCAAGTCTTGTTCTCCCAGCCTTAAACATAGCTGCCCAATGTTTAATAGTGGAATAGCTAGCGCACTTATCCCCATACACATGACTTGCGGTCGTGAATTTCTTGGTGAGTATTTTCCTCTAAAGTCAACAGCTTGATGACTGCTCGGCACTCGTTCTTTTCCATTTGTGTGTCCATTTGGACCCCTATCACGTTCCATTGGCTGTCAGTCATATACAAGCGGCCTCAACAGACCAAATACACTTGCAATGAACTACTCAAACAATGTACTACATTGACTAGTTGACTTTGTTATGGCCAAGTTGAAAGTTAGTGAGACTTTTTTACTTTTTGACCAGCCCTCGTACTATACATCATGGAGTATTTAACGCTTGTTCAGTGCCTTGCTTTAACTGTTGTTTTAGAAGAAGAAATGCACTTGAAGAGTATAAAACATGTTTAAGTGTGTTAAGAGTGCAATAATGAAAATGCGGATTTATATTTATTTATATGAAACATCTAACGGTCAAAACATGTGTGTTCTTTGTAACAAAACTTAATGTGTAAAAGAAAAGCGACAAAGTTTTGCTTTTTAGTTTTGAACCTGCTTAATGTCAATGTATCCTAGCAGGGTTGTTGTTTAAGTTTTGTTCAGAGGGGCGAACCCCCATGAAACCAACTTGCGGGTTCCACCCTCAATATTCTTCCTCTTTCATGCGATACTTTCTCTTCTAAAAATGGATTTGGCACAGAAATAAGACATCACAAAGGGCCACGTGGAAGTCGGGGGTGGTTCTACGTGGGGTAAAGCCTGATTCAATAGATAAGATTCATTAATCGAGGTGGGAATGCTGAAGACATTGAAGAATGCTTGATTCTGATTGGTCAAATTCATTTTGATAAATTATGTGTTTTGAACCCCCATTTTTAACTAGTCAAGACTTTAGTAACACTTGAACTTTAGTAATATTTGTTACATTTATAACAACCTGTGACCCCTTTCTGGAATGTTCTAAGATAGGGGATGTTTGTACCCTGTGTAGGTACGCATTGAAAGAGTGAGCTGTTTTAAAAGCGCTCTTGTTGTCATGGTAGAATGGAGATAAACCTACTAAATATCTCCAAATTAAAATAAGAGGTATCTACCCTACACTGGAACTACATCAAATTTCAAAATACAGTAGGTTTATCGCTTAAATGGTAACCGGTTCAAATACCAAATGGAATGGACTCGCGCACGGCTCCTAGACCCTGGCTCTTAAGCCTTGACCTTTAATGGGTTTGGAAGCTCTGTTATTGGGGGGATGTACGGTGAGCAGGGGAAAATGAAACAGGGTTGTCGTAAGTTTTTGTTCCCCAGTACATCCCCGATGGAACTTCGGACACTTGCCCTGTGTTTGTGTCCACTATGGGATTCTCCATGAGAAGTAATTCCGGTAAAAAATCGTGTAAATGTCAAAAGATGAAGTTTATTCTTCGTAAACCTCACTTTTTGAAGTTTGTTGAAGTGTTTGCAGCAGATAATCCAGCCTCATCAACGGAGATCCTTTACACTTCAAAATAAGAATGTATTAACACTAAATCTTGCTTGTTTTAGTGACGAACCGTTTCGTGGAAACTTTGACAACACCTGTGTCCACCAACTGATCCGGCTAATAAAGACAAAGGGAAAACGCCTTGGCCATCTGGTGGAGTACTTCTCCCAGGAACACAGTCTCCGTGTAGATATTCTCCGTTTGGTTCAGGAAATCCATAGCAACTGTCCGTTCTGTCAGGCTATCCTGCAGCAGTGGTGCTGACTTTAATATTGATGGAGGGCATGAAGTCGCATCCGGTCACTGTACTCATGCGAGTGATTATGGTTTTAAGCCGCTTTTTGCAATATCCCATCAATATCACAGCAGTGAAAATCACAAATTCTCCGTTTAGGAAATCGAACTTGGGCTTTCGGCATGACGATCGAACGCTTCAACTACTAGGCTATAACATCGCCTCCAGCAAAACCTGGGGCACGGGTGCCCCATTCGTCTAAGGCGCCGCGATTCGCTGTGCAGAGTTGCGTCCCTTGGGCGCGACAGAAACCTATGATTGTGGGTTCGACTCCCGATTCGCTCCGATTATGTTTCTAGGTTTGTTAGCACCATACCCGTGCTCTTGGGTTTCACCGAAGTGGTAAACGTCTGAGACCTGCACCACTTCGGGCTTTCCTCCCACATTTAGCTGACACGCCGTGATATATTAACTGGGATAATGTTAAAAGCGGCGTTAAACCCACCTCACTCGCTCACTCCTGGAAAACTGGGCCCCATTATCACTGTCATGGTTCCAGTCTTATGCCAGTATCCCCCGTGTCTCAAATGTCGAATTTCACATATGAGTTGAAGACATGTCATACTGGCTAGAGGGTAATACACACTATGTTCATTAAACATACATTGTCTCAAGAACATTGCAAGATACATACACATTACAAGATTTCTAATTGTACATGGATCAGATGAGGACATCAACTAATTAAATTTGTAACGAAATGGGTACACATAAAATCTTTGACAACTATTATGGCATTAGAAGCATTACAAGTCATAACAAAGTTATACTCACCTTCAGTAGTGTTATAATTACATAATTCACACATACATAGTTCTCTTGGTTGCCGAAACAGATCTTCCTCTTTCTATGTTTAAATGGCGTGAACTACATATAAGGCAAAGCAGGGTTACTCTAAAATTTGAAACAGTTATAACTTAAAGGATCAATTCCGAGCAGAAGGATATCTTATAAAGGGTATAACTATTTGTTTTGCTGCCCCGAAGGAGCGCATCATGCCAGTCCTGCCAAACTAGGCTGGAATTATGGAGTTAAATGTTGGCTGGACTAACGAGTCTAGGCTTAGTCTAATCAAAATCGCTTAACGAAATCGACCTCCGGTTCGTGAACTGCCGTGCAGATTTCGGTCGATGGCAGGATTTACAAAGCATGTGTTCCGCCAACCAGGCGTCACAGATATTTTGTAAATCTTTTCAAGTTTTTAATCAAGGTCCTCACATCATTTTATGCATTTCGCCAAGCAAGACTCGTTTTATCACAATATAGATTTTGATAAGATCTTGTTGACTGTGCACCGCCATTTTGTTTGATGTAAATGCAAGTTGGTTGGTTGGTTGGTTGTTTAACCAGGCACTCAGCAATATTCCAGCTATATGACGGCGGTCTGTAAATAATCGCGTCTGGACCAGACAATCCAGTGAATGACATCATGAGTATACTGCTGAGTGCGGCGTTAAACAACAATCAACAGCATAAATTATCCCTGATAGAGGTCAAGCCACGGTATGTATTCCTACGCCTGACATGTTAATCATTCGCATCATATTTATCTGTTTTGATTTATATAATTGTTTTATTTTATTAAACTATTGTTGATAATATATGTTTTCGTTGTAGAATTTTATTATTAGTATTGCCTGTGTACTTTTTCGGTTCATTGAAGTACTGTTGGCACACTGGTTTTGTTATTCATAACTCAACAAAGCGAAAACAAGTCATTCCTTAAATATGTGAGTGCCAACTTCATTGAGTTTTTAACTTTCTAACTCAAACGACTGAACGCTTTTCGCGGTTACTGAGAATCAGAGCCTTTATGTATTTGAAAAAAAAGGATGCCGCGTTACGTTTTCTTGACTCGTGATCCCCGGATTCTAGGATATGAATTCCTTTTTTGTGTGTTCGTACATCCCCTAAAACCACCGAGTTTAATGTAATATGTTTTCAAAAGTATCCCAGCAGTGCTAACTCTACAATTCGCTCAAAGTCACAATCTCATTTAATATATAGTAAGCTTCTCGCCTCACTTAAGTGAAGGGTTGTGGACCAGAAAGAGTGTGTGGAATCTTGTGCGTGCGTGGTTTGTTTGGGACTGTATGGAGTGTTAGTTGGAGATGGTATGAGTGAAACAGCTCTCGTATGAATCTGGCAGTTACAGATCAACGTTTTGTGGGGCAATACATTTCCATTATGTTCAAAACCATATCCCCCGTGAAGATCCGAGTTAGAATTGGTCTTCAGCAACCCCGCTTGTTGTAAGAGGCGACCATACAGTCTTGGTTGATGCATGGCATTGTCTCCCAATTACGAGGATCGATGCTCTTGGCGTCAATAACTGGATTGACTGGTCCAGACTCGATTATTTACAGATCGCCGTCATATTACTGGAATATTGCTGAGTGCGGCGAAGGAAGTGAGTGAATGAATGCTCTTTTCCACTAGGAGCCACTGAAGGGATGGTGTAAATCCTGCTGGGGTCCATGCAGGTAGCAAAAGTACTGTAAGTCCCCTAGTGTGGCGATCTACTTTCAGTTGTTGGCGATCTATCGCCCTTTTTTATAATGTATTGTTCCATATAGTGGTATCATTTTATTTGTTGTATGCTAGTTTTAAATATTAATCTGTGATATTCTAGTTATTTCACTGTCCATTGATGACAGGTTTTTCTTTAGTTTAATTATATGTATTAATAATGTATAACTTCTCGTCGTGACATGGATGAAATACTGCAGACGTAAAGCATAAACTCACTCACTCACTCTTTGACACTATAACAGCCATCCAACGCGTGAGGTGGGGGCACGGGTGGCCCAGTCGTCTAAGGCGCCGCGATTAGCTGTGCAGAGTTGCGTCCCTTGGGCACGCCAGAAACCTATGATTGTGGATTCGAATCCCGGTTCGCCCCGATTATGTTTCTAGGTTTGTCAGCACCATACCCGTGCTCGTGGGTTTCACCGAAGTGGTAAACGTCTGAGACCTGCATCACTTCGGGCTTTCCTCCCACATTAAGCTGACACGCCGCGATATAACTGGAATACTGTTAAAAGCGGCGTTAAACCCAACTCACTCACTCACTCACTCCAAATCGTGAATCTGGCACATGCTGCCGGTTCACCACCCACCTGCCAGGTCACACAGTGTGCATACATAACATATCTCAGGATTCTTATTTAAAAAACACAATATTCTCCCAGTGTAGCAACCACCATCTTTACTTCAAGCTTGACAGTATGTACAGTGTATTCACATACAAGCACGGCGACACACACGTCACAGTAGGCACAAAGGATACATCTTCACAGTTTGATGTCCTCAGCTCAAACAACCTTAGTTCAGGTGAATTATTAACGTTTTTTGTTCTGTAGATTGCTAACTGCAGCCAAAGACAGGCAACATACTGACATCATTAGAATCTTGACATCCTCTAACAAAGGTAATGCTAATTAAACAATAATCGATGCAAAGCATTGTATTGATTCAGGAGGCACAATTGTCATGGGATGACACAAGTGTTCATGAGGAAATACTGTTTCATGATTATGCTTACATATTTTAATATAACTTGTGAATGCAAATGTATATACCATGTGCCGCCGTTATCAGCTGGAATATTGCGGAGTGTGGCTTTCAACAACAAATATATACAGTGCACTTTATCTGAAAGAAAATACATGTACCTTCTGTTACCTTGTAAAAATAGTGAGTGAGTGAGTGAATATGGTTTTACGCCGCTTTTAGCAATATTCCAGCAAAATCACGGCGGGGGACACCAGAAATGGGCTTCACACATTGTACCAATGTCGGGAATCGAACCTGGGTCTTCGGCATGACAAGCGAACGCTTTAACCACTAGGCTACCCGACCGCCCCCTTGTAAAAATAGCATGTACAGTTTGCCTTATAGTTTTCCTGTAAAGAAAGGATAATAGATATATGATTCTGATGTATAACAACAGTAAATAACATTGACATTATGAAAAGGCAGTTTCTTGAAAACAAGGAGATTTATATGGATTTCATGCTTTAACAGGATTTGAACAAATCATGAAGAGCAGGCAACAAAGACAGGTGACAACAGAATAACTATGTGAAGGCCTCTAGAGAAGTCCATGTTGGTCTTTTATATTGACCCGCGCTGCGTATCACTATAGTAACAGCATATAGTAATAGCATGTGCTTATGTACAAATGGATTAATTGATCAATTTTACAGTAATACAGACAGGGGACAGAGAACAGGAGACCCAATATGAAGGACTTCGTACAGAGAGCCTGAGAGAGAACAGAACCCGCTTCACATGAAACATCACTTCACCAGACACCATGCATGGCAGTGCCCCCCCCCCCCCCAACGTGACAATCTGTAACCCACCTGGATCCAAGTCCTCCACATAAACCCCAGTGAATTCAATCTTAACACTCTCCTGAAGATACGGGTTACAATAGGTCTTCATTACCCATGTATGAACAAACAAAACATTCAAAACAACAGCCAAAGCCTCTTGTTTTAAGTAGAATACCTGTTAACCCTTTTTTAACCATGAATGTTCACGGGTCTGAATAAACCAGAGCGCAAACAGGAATACCTAAAACAATTGTCAACTCGTTGCGTCATGGTTCACATATATTTCCCCATATGTTATATATATTTCAGATGCAATTTAAAGCACATCAGGACATGCAGAATTATACAGTATGATTGAACACATTTAACTGTATCTTGGGTATATTAGAAACAAGACATTAAACAAACCAAAATTATTCCTGAGGGATTCTTTGACGAAGAACTTGAAGTCAACCGTGCATTCTCATTAGTTTGTCGTATTTTCGCACATAGCATTCATCGATAGGGGGCGAGTGGTGATGAATGACGTCCAGTCATGACTAAATGAAAAAGACACTTACAACATGCTGTAAGTCTGTGTACAATATAATTTCTGATTCCATTCATAAACTTATTAAACAGGACGAGATAAGGCAGTTACACTCACCACTCTATGTTGAGAAGAGACAAAACAAAACATTGTTTCAGTTCAACTAACTAGAACAAATCATATAAACGCCCCATGCTTCGTAGAAATGAGACCATGGCATTTGAAAATGAATTCTGAGACGTGAACGTCTTTTGGTATGACGTAGCCAGGGATTTAACCCCAGACCTTCAGCTCTCTGGGTGGACGCTCTACCACTAGACCATGGAGGCGGTCAAATAACTTTTGGAGAAGTCTTTCCGTGGGATTTGACCTGCAATCACAACTCAGTAGTGTTTGTGGCACCTGAGACTACAAGGCAACCTGGGTGTGATCAAGAACATGTGACCAAAGTGATTCGTTCACTCCGACACTGGATTATCTTGAACATCAAACTGACAAGACATGACAAAGAAGCATGGGTTGTGATTCAGATAAACACAAATTACATCAAAAAGTTTGAAATTTATCCTCCGAAACTTGTTTCCACAAGAGATATCACTTTGGGGAGATTAAAGGGATAGTTCATACAAAACTGAACTATTTTTCTTATACTTGTTCGACATTAAAATTATTTACCTAGTTTCTGAGCCAAAACAATACAAATAACACAAGCAACTAATTTATTTTATTCAATGAATATTCTTCCCATTTATCGAGGTTCTATTTCCATAATAAACACACCATGGCTTATGTCCCTTGCAATATGATGTCATTGGTGATAACGATATGACGTCATTAGACATTATAAGACATGGTGTACATACACTCTTTTAAGGTTCCTACTTTCAATGTGAGAAAAATGAGTGTGTATATTCTAACATTGAACTATTTCTAAAATTGCATTTTGTTTCAAATAACAAAGAAAGTGATGTTTATTGTGCACACTTCTCCTTTAAGAGATATTTCCTTGGAGATATTGCTACAAAGAAATTGCATCACAATGCTGAGCAGACCATCATGACATCGTTGGTTACTATGACATCACAATCAAATGACATCACTAATCTCTCTGCCACTGAAGCTGGTTAGCTGTATGTATTACTCAAGACACTGGTTATTACTGTTGGAAGTATGATTTTGTATGATAAACAGAATCTTACTGTCATATCTTTGATATAAATCAGGACTTGTCGAAAAAAAATTAAAACTTTGACAAGCTTCAGAGTGGAAAACTTTTATCAACTCATGTTAATGTATTTGATATCAAAAGACACTCAGGTGAGGTTCTCCATATACATGTATACACAGATCACAATATCAGACTTGATTTACTGCTGGTTGGACTAAGTTAAATACTGACCAGGACTATTAAAACAACAGCTAGTAAAATGACGCTGCTGAAAATGGTATTGTTTGATGTCAGGTTAGGGGATCTAAAGATAAAATTACAGAAAACTCCAAGGTCCACTTCTGTACAAAATCCTGCAGGGAGAGTGCCATGTAGATTATCTAGGAACCCAATATGGTAATCACAGACATCAGGGCTTCTATTTTCTGTAAGCTGACTGAACCTTCAGCAATTCTTTATTGTGGTGACATTTTCAGATTAATAAATCCGTATGAGGGATATTTTTCTGAGGCACTGGAAAAACATGCACACATGAACGCTCTGCATAAAAGAATACGTGATATATTTACAGCATTTTACAACAAGGAAAATCTGCACAAGTTCATTATAAAACACAAGAAATCATAACAAAAACAATACACAATGAACCCCTACTTCTACTGGATGTTGTTGGGAATGATGTGTATAATGATGTGTACACAAAGGGATAATACCATGATTACTCTGTACCAGAGATTGTTAAACAAGAAAAAAATGTGTTTATCTTGACGATTTCACTGGGGACTATTCTGTCACGATTAAGCCAAAAATAACTAATCGTAAGATTTCCCAGCCTTTTTTAAGTGAGGATGGAGCATCTTCACCCTAATTTTAATACAGACTGTTCCACAGCTTTTGTGTACATGAACTGTGGACTGATTCCTATCTTGACAAGTCCATTCCTAACAGTCTGTTTCCAACAGACACTTACCCAGAAGAGTTTATACCCTGATTAACAGCATGTGCAGAATACTCAAAGTGAATTTGTTAGGAATGTAATGGAGGTTCCCAACCTCAGCCAAGTACAAGTCTGATTATTGTCACATCCGACCATTTTTTCCATATTTTCTAATTCTCACTACAGTTGAAACTTTTCAGTTGGGCTGCCATGAAATTTTCCTCCACTGCCCGACTGTCTGGCTGATAATTTTAATACCACTTATGTTTTCAGTCCTATCATAACTCCTTGTAGATTCTCAAGTAATTGTTTGCATTATTTCAACTGAGACAACACGCAATTTGTATCTCTTTTTTTGAGATTTTTCAATTTTTCTTATGTCTGAATGCGGGCAGGTAACTTGAGTGAGTGAGTTGGGTTTAACACCCCTTTTAACAGTATTACAGCTATATCACAGCGTGTCAGCTTAATGTGGGAGGAAAGCCCGAAGTGATGCAGGTCTCAGACGTTTACCACTTCAGTGAAACCTAGAATCATAATCACAGCGAGGCGGGATTCGAACCCACAATCATAGGTTTCTGGTTTGCCCAATTGAGGCAACTCTGCACAGCGAATCGCGGCGCCTTAGATGACTAGGCCACCCGTGCCCCCAGGTAACTATGAAGATAGGCAGGTAACACTTATGGGTCACCTGCCCAACTGTCTTTTGGTTTTGAATTATTTCAAACACTGTCATGGACTGTGTCTCTGAGATCTGAGGTGTGACCTCAGTGAGGATGGGTCAGTTAACAGGGACCATAAACTGATGTGAAGCCGGGTGCTTTGTGGTGAGGCCAAATGTATAAAAATAATTAATCTATCGTGGCCTTAGTAGGATTTCATTGAAACATAAAAAATATCCCAACATGCTAAATATGTACACTGCATAAAAGTTGACACTGATCATATTTAAGACTTCATCCAACAGTAAACAGTGATCATGTACATTCTCATACTGACATGAAGTTTTAAGGGTTTTTCTCTTTCTCTTTTCACTCACTTCCTGTTGATGAGAATGACATGAATGTGAACTGGTGTGTGTATCTTATAAAAAAAGACCAATAAACATTGTCATAATGGTTTGATATTACAAGGCATGAATATACAGTGCATATTTCTTCATATGATTTGACATTCCAGCAGAGTATTGAGGAGTAGTGTTAATTTTTACCAAAGTTACATCAAGTATTAAATGCACACTGGACAATTCATTACTAGACTATATTAATATTCTACATCAAAACACACTAGAAAAGGTCTTCAGCAAGCCATGCTTGTCACAAAAGGCGACTATGGTCTTTGTCAGAGGCGCATAATGGGATCGGGTGGTCAGACTCGCTGTCTTGGTTGATGCATGGCATCGATCCCATTATACATGGATAGATGTTCATGGTGTCAATCACTGGATTGTCTGGTCTCGATTATTTACAGACCGCCGTCATATAGCTGGAATATTGCTGAGTAAAAACAACAAACAAAACAAACCAACATCATGATGCCTGGACACCTTGCACTAACGACCCCTGGCCAATGGAAACAATGGGACACACAACATTGTGTCAAGGTCATTCTATTCTTTATATTCTACCGGGAAACAAACAAATATTGCACTGTTATATTCATGTTAATGTTACTGATTCTCCACCAAATTCTACTCTTGTAGTGCCCTGCTTGAACACCCCATCCAGTTACACTGGACATAATGCAGGAGGCTGGATACGCGGAGTGCTTGACACACAGCAGGGTACATGTTAAACAATCCATCTGGATAAGAGAGGGCAATCAGATACACTTCGAGAGATGAATGAACCAGCGCTTTTATTGGTACCGTATTCGACATAATAAGCACCCAGGGTGCTCTCCTCAAAGTTAAAAAGAGGCGGCTCGTATTAGAATATTATTTTGGTGAAAAAAAAACAGAGTTGAAAGATCGTAAATTTTGTGTTTTATGCTAAAAGCCTGAAACAAAAGAAAAGTCTGTGTGTATTATACAAGACAGATATATTTTTCCAGATTTTAATTGCCCATAATTAAGGGTCCATATAACACACAAGTGAGTATTATACACAAATAAATAAGTCTTGTGTACATTGATCATTCGGAAGGGTGCTAATTGGGATTGTTCACTAGCCAATATATTAGCAAATATCGCCGTGGGCGCATATTAGAGCGAGGCCCTTATTATGGTGAATACGGTATATGACTTTCATTCTTATGAGAAGAAGATGATCTCTTAGTTATTTTAGTACAACAAATATCAAGTACATGTACATGACATGTGTATGTATGTATAACTTTTCCAGGTTTCTGATGATGATTAATAAATAACTGTTGTGAATGAACAATATTTTTTCTAAAATATATTTTTTTGGGGGGGTTGGGGGTTGATTGGAGAGTGAATGGACGTCAACACTTATAAACAGCATGGACATATAAAAATCAGTATGTGAGACAGTACAGTCCTTAACCTCTATAATTTTCTGAGATTCAGATTTAGTATTTGTTTCAGCAAGTGTCAAGAGAGAATCTAACTAAAACGTGCTGGTAGAAGAGAAGAATGGGGTTTTGCGGATGGAAATGAATTATTCAGCCTCACAACTGATGGGACCCATTATCTATATATATAATACTTTCTACAAGCAGGACAGTCAGGGTGTGCTGTCTGTAGTAGACGTATGATGTCAACTCTGTGGTGGTCTGGATCAGCGAAGTACCGCACCAGGTGACACGCAGTCGTGCCCTTCTGGATCATGTACGTTAGTATGACATGGGCAGGGCTGTTGCGCAGGTCTTCTCTCCTAGCCCACCTGAAGAACACAAATGGACATCATCATCATCATCATCATCATCATAATAGGCTGTTTATATTGTGCATATTCCACACAATCAGGGGCATGCTCAAAGCGCTTTTAATCCCCTCGTCACTGGATCTGTGTGAGCTAAAGAAGCATTCTCAGCTCCCTGGGGAGTATACAACCCAAGCTGCCAGTTAGGCGGTAGAAGGTTAACAACCTCATCCTACCAGGTACCCATTAACTGCTGGGTGAACAGAGGCACATTTTGAAGAAAGCCACTTTCCCAAGGAGATGCCGACCATGCTTAACCTTACCTGATTTATTACCTGTGTGCTGTGCACAGGACCACATGACACCACATCAGAGAAGTGACTATCAGTGAATCAGACAGTTTGTCTGTTGTTTAACACCACACTCAGCAATATCAGCTATATCAGTGTATTTAATGGCTGTCTGTAAATAATCCAGGCTGGACCAGACAATCCAAAGATCGACATAAAAAACATAAATCTATGCAATTGAATACAATTATATGAATGTACAAAGTCAGCGAGCAAAACCCTTAAACATGGCAAATTTCTACTAGTCCTTATGATACCTTAACTATTTGGCAAGGACTACAGGACCAGTGCCAACATCTGACACTGATGACCACCCAGTCCCGTTAATCACCTCTTACGACAAGCATGGGTGGCTGATCTGGGGAGACAGATAAAAAATCAAGGAGATCAGAAAGAGGTATTAGCAATTCTTCAATCAGTTTAGCAGATAGGTGACGTATTTCATTCAGCACTGATATTGAATGCATTTTTCAGTGCCATGTTGTAAAGCGTTGGGTCATTGCAGGGAATGAAGAAGCGAGTGAATGTTGTTTAACAATGTAGTCAAAAATATTTCAGCCATATCGCAACAATCTGCTAATGATCCAAGTCTGGATCAGGTTGACTGCATGTGCCATGATCCACACAATCAGGTTGAGTGAGTGAGTGAGTGAGTGAGTTGGTTTTATCCCCGCTTTGAACAGTATTCAAATTATATGACCGCGTGTCAGATTGATGTGGGAGGAAATCCCGAAGGTCTCAGACGTTTTCAACTTTCAAACCTAGAAATATAATCAGGGTGAACCGGGATCCGAACCCACAATCATAGATTTCTGGCATGCCCAGGAACGCAACTCAACACAGTGAACTGCGGTGCCTTGGACGACTGAGACACCTGTGCCCCCTCGGGTACGACAGCGCAGTGATGACGCAAGCATCCAGGTCATACCCTGCAACTACCCAATCCACACTAACTGACTCCTACTACTATACGAGCTTATGATCATTCGAACAAATCGGCGAAACCGCATTATCAGAGGTTCATAATGGGAAAGGGAGGTCACTCTCTTTACAATCTGGAGCTATCTCAGTTGTTTTAGTATTTGCATATAATGGTGTCAAAACATTAATTTGCCATCTAACCCCTAAGGTAATCAGTATTCTTTCCATCTGAAATTTGCAGCAAATTGAAAATGGTTCTTGCCAAAGAAATGTTTAAAAATTACAAAATGAACACTAAATTTTCCAAGATGTGGGCCCACATTAGTTATCTGAATAGAGATGGTGGTAGGTGGGTCCACATTTTAGAAAGTCAGGAGTTGTGATCTGCACATCCTCTTAGGTTGGCTTAGTGCTGATGAAGGCAGTTGGTTAGTCTAGTGGTTACAGCGTTCGCTCATCACGCCAAAGACCCTGGTTCGATTCCCGACATGGGTACAATGGTGTCCCCCACCGTGATATTGATGGAATTTACTAAAAGTGGCGTAAAATCAAACTCACTCACTCACTAGTGCTAATGATCATTTTGTTCACTTTTTCCCCACTAATATGGTGATCAATATAGGTGGGCCTGCATTTATAAATCGTGACACTTCCATAGGTTGGCTTAGAGACAACCATTATCTAAACTGTGCATCCACTTTTCCCGTTAGATAAACATGGTATTGGGATTGAAACAGGTGTGCCCACATTTGTAAAACACTAAGCTTCATTTAGTTGACTTAAGGGGCCATAGCAGGGGTACGGAAACCGTCATATGCGCCGGACATGTCCGATTGGGAATCTCAAATGTCCGTTTTAAAATATTGCTTACCGGACATTTTAAAAAGTATTGTCCGGACATTCTTAAATTTTGACCGGACATGATCAACAGTTAGGACTGAGCAGTTTCTGTCTGCAGTTGCAACACAATGAAGATTAACTACACTGACAAGCTTTGTTTGTTTTGATTGCTGTAAATACATCGTACCTACATGATAGTCCAATCGGTCAATCACTGTAATAGGCAATAAACTGAGTTGACACTGATTAATCGAGGATTAATTACTGAGAACATCTTGTTAATTTGAGTGAAAGGTGTTTACAACTGTACATTAATACCTCGCATCATCGATGTACCTCATTATCCTCACAATGCTACGATACGTAACCTCAGACAAGAAGCGAAAGCGTGACGACAGCCAGTCGACCGATGCAGATCAGTCGAGCAGATCTGCCAAACCCTCAAAGTCTGGACGATCATTCTGTAAGTCGTGTATGGCCGCCATAGATATATAGCAACAGATATTATTCTCATTTTGCTATATTAATGGGAGATGACTTGACAAATTATTATGATAATTACTTGACTTCCACAGCAGGCACAGAGAGCCCAGGAACAATGTCACCTGCTGATCACTCTCATTATATTTTTCACAAATTCAGTTTTGCAAAAAAACATAGGAAACTTACTTCAAATTACATTTCGAGAGGCTATAGCACTCAGCCAGCAAATTAACACATCACTCCAATCATAAGAGTCATAGGCCATATGAACCTGAAAATTGTGTCTAAACTTGAGTCAAACTCTCAACATGAGACAAGCCCAGGACCAATAACCTCAAACCTTTCTGGCAACTTGAAATAAAAGAAATAACTCCTGAATATATAGAGACGCCTACAAATTTGTTTTGCGATGTTCAAACACATTTGTACATCTGAACATTCTAATTCAATTAAAATACAGGAAACTTTTCAGGGCTTGACTAGTGGCACTTGGCGCATGTTGACATAATACCTAGTTGCTCCAGACAAAATCTGTTTGCACCTTGGTCCCATACATTTTTCAAAGTTGAAATGTGCACATTAAATCTTGAAGTACCCACAGTTTGATGACATCACGCCTCCAAAAGCGTGACAAATTACACATATTGATTACATAGTGATGTAGTAGGGTAAATAAAGCTTAGAGGTGTTGAATGTGTTCAATGATCAATGCTGTGTGGACAAGTTTAGTTTAGTCAGACGTGTTTAGTCAGACACAAATTTGAAAGATTTTAACATGCACTTGGCACATGTAGACATAAATATTAGGTTGCACTGGTACATGTTTTATATAATAAAATCAAGCCCTGCTTTATAATGACACAATAGTAGTTTGTAACTTATTTTTGAAGGTGAGCCAACATCACACTTTTCATTAGGCAAGCAGAGTTAGCTCCCTTCTCGTACCACCAACATCCTGTTTCGCCAACAAGTCACGTGATTCAAATCAATGATGGTAAGGGATTTAGGTCTATTCTTTTTGATGGACACCCTTCAACTATATCAACAACACTTACGTCACATAATTCACTCTCTCATTTGAAAAGCCAAGTATGTCCATTGCTGCTCCACAAATTGTCAAATTGATGTGTTTGTCGTTTGTAGGTTGCAGCTTCAGAACAAGATCATCACATATCTTCTTTAAGTCCCTCCTTTCCCTCAGTTCACTGAGCCGAAGAGTACAACTCTCGGATTCCTCTGAAACAGTTCAACAAGCCAAATAATGAGAGTGTTCACACCAGTGACGTTACTTCAATGTTGGTCCTGTAGAACTGTTTTTTGTATCTGTTTAGCGGCCACCATATTTGTTAAACCCTAACCTTGTCAGTAGTAGAATCCAACTAGATGCGGTTGGTCACCATATAAAATATATCCACAGTGCGCAAAGAGAGACACAAAGTGAGCCTGGCTCACTAAGACCCCTGACTTCGACTCCAACACATTTCTAAGTTCAAAACAAAACATTATTTTCTCAGAAAATCCACCTATCAAAATCAAATGTTGCCCGGCACTTCTCTTATTGGTATAGAAACTGTACCCTGCATTGGAAAAAGAACCATGTTGTAGTTATCAAGTCAGAGGTCGCACAAATGCTGAAGTAAAAATATATTCTAAGTTCACAACATCAAAAACACTATATTTTCCTTCTAAAAAAATACACATATCAAAATCAAACACTGCGCCGTATCTCTACTATTAGTATGGAAACTGTTCCCTAATTTAAAAAGAAGCCATGAAGTAGTTTTTTTACAAGTCGTAGGTCACACAAATGTTTAAGTAAAAACATTCTAAGTCAAGAAATGGAAAAAGCAGCATGTTTTTAGAAAGTCCAAACATTGAAATCAAACTTTGCACGACACCTCTCCTATAGGTATAGAAAGTGTACACCAAGTTTGTGCACACCAGGAATCTATGAAGCAGTTTTCAAGTTACAGGTCAAAGTTTCTGAACTTTAACTCCACTTAGTTTGTTTTCTACAAACTAGAAAACAGTTAATAAACAATAGGCAACATGGCCTAAAATTGAAAAACCCAATAATTTTTTTAATTTCAATAATAATACTGTATCTCTGATGAAATGACTCAGTGTCTATGACACTTGATTCCATATCAATGATAGATCAGCTTATGGCAACATGTGACGAGGTTACCTTGATACACAACAATTCAAGTTCCTCAATTAATACAGAAATACACTTTTTGTAACCAAATGAACTTTACCATCATTCATGGGAGGGATCGAATTCCGGCTTGCAAGGGAGGTAACTGATCTAGCAGGTCGGAGAGGAGCTTTGGGGTTGGCTCCGCCCATAGTTCTGCCCACAGCTCTGGCTCCACCCCCTACCCTCTCCTCTATGTCAGTCAGGCTGGACTTGTACAGACATGGGTCGCTCGGGAGGGAGGTCAGTTCCGCTTTCAGTGGCTGGGAGGGACCACTGGAAGCTGACATGAAACAGAACAGGTATGTTATTAATGCATCTGTAACCCAGTGAAGATCTTGGTTAGATTAGGTCTACAGCAACCAATTCTTGCGGTAAAAGGCAAGGACTAACGGGATCGGGTGGTCAGGCTCGCTGACTTGGTTGGTGCATGTTATATTATCTCAATTTCATGGATTGATGCTCATAATGATCCTGGATTGTCTGGTCGAGACTCGATTATTTACAGACCGCCGTCATACAGCTGGAATATTGCTGAGTGTGGCCTTAAACAACAAACAAAAAAACTGGAGTTTTGCTCACTATAAACCTTCTCATCACACAATATGGTGCAGCAATGAAATACAGAAAGATGATCAAGACTTAGGAAATCACTTAGGATTGCAGGATTGCAGGATTTGCAGAGCATGTGTAACATCACCTGGGCATCCACAGATATTTTACAAATCTGTTCATGTTTATAATCAAGGTGCTGAACTTATTTGATGAACTTCGCGTGGCATGACCCGTTTTATTACAATAAAAGTCTTGATTATCGATCAGATTGTCTTCACTGGGCGCCACCATTTTGTTTGAAGCAAATGCATGTGATATGAGAGCTTCAATCTGATTGGTCAAAAGGAGGGATATAGAAGGGATTTAACTTGTATTAGCTACTGGTGGCACTACGCTCCAGCCACTTCATTCCAGCCTAGTTCGGCAAGGGTGGAAACCGGACTCTTACAGACAATAAACCCCCGACTCCCGAGTGCTTACATTTTCAACCACAACCGAGGGTTAGTGTTTTCTCTGGCTTATAAACCCTACAAAGAGTATAATATACACCAAAAATCCAATTTACATGTGGTTATAACAAGACAATTATTAGTTGGATAAAACACGACTCCGAGGTTTTGGTTGAAAATGTAAAACCATGAACCAAAACAAAGGAGGAGTGTTTTATCCAACTTATGAACCGTCTTAATGCAACAAAATACCAGAAAAATAAGAAAACATTGGAATATCTTTTAGTGAAAGAATACAGTGTGTTGCGTTTTAAAGGGAATTCTATCAAAGTGTGAGAGAGAAAGACTACGTGCATCATGCAGCTCAAACAGAAGTCATGGCAAGTTTTGGTTTGGTTTGTTTGTTGTTTAACGCCGCACTCAGCAATATTCCAGCTATATGGCGGCGGTCTGAAAATAATCGAGTCTGGACCAGACAATCCAGTGATTAATATCATGAGCATCGATCCACGCAATTGGGACTGATGACATGCATCAACCAAGTCAGCGGGCGCATGGCAAGTCAGGGCAAGTAAAATTGAACAATTTTTTATTACCTGCTCCAGTGGCTCTATGGGAAAACATAGGGTTTCAAAACTAAACACGATATGTGAGGTTGCAGGTTCGATACCAGTCATCCATAATGAAAACTTCTTGTCCTCGATTTGAGAACACTGAACGTTTGAAACACCAAGTACAACTTTCATCTACTGATCTACTCATCAGGTCTTTCTGGGGGAAAAGCAAAACCTCCCAATAGGTTATTAGGAGATACAACACACTATACACAAGTGGCAGTAGGTTTATACAATCTGGTCCAACCCGGACTGTGGACTGTGACAGGCACTGGCTGTGAAAAGAACAAAGCCATGCAGTGGACCAGACAAGGCAGGGGGTAGTGTTTGTTTGTTGTTTAACACCACACTCAGCTATATTCAATTTATATAATCGAGGTCTGTAAATAATGGAATCTGGACCAGACAGTCCAATGATTGAAGTCATAAGCATCGATCTACGCAATGGCATGCATCAAGGAAATTAGCAAGTCTGATTACCCGATCCTGTTTGTTGCCTCTTATGACAAGCATGGGTTGCTGAAGACCAATTAGATCACTTCATTTTCACATACTTTTTGCGAGTAAATTCCTTGCTACAACTAAATGTGGTGATGTTTGACTTCTACTTCTGGTGACGACCACAAGTTGGGGTGTGGCCCGAACAAACATAGTCAGGGTGTATCTGGGACTCGAAACCACAGTTTTCTTTGTTTGTTTGTTGTTTAACGCCGCACTCAGCAATATTCCAGCTATATGACGGCGATCTGTAAATAATCGAGTCTGGACCAGACAATCCAGTGATTGACACCATGAGGATCAATGCACGCAATTGGGATACGATGACAAGCATCAACCAAGTCAGCGAGTCTGACCACCCGATCCCGTTAGTTGCCTCTTACGACAGACATGGGTTGCTGAAGACTTATTCTACCCACAGTAATCGGATTCCAGAAGGATTGTGGGATGCAACAGCGAAGTGGAGCATCTGGACGTGTAGGTCACGAATGCCCAAGAGGCTTTGCCGCTCAACAGTAAAATGTTTTTCAGTACACTCTGTAAACCACCACTGAAACTGTACCATCAATAGTCGCTTCTTGCACCGTATTGGCCAGTGACCCCAGACAGACTTCAGCCCGGACCACTTCCTTTACGTTGGTGTGGTCTACGTTGCCTGTCACATCTGAAAGCAGAGGAGAAAAACACTGCAAGAAGAACCATACAAGAATGTCATGAAATACAACTCACAAGCATGACTTGTCGTAAAATACAACTCACAACCAAAGTCTGTCTGGAAATACAACTCACAACCAAAGTCTGTCATGAAATACAACTCACAAGCATGGTCTGTCATGAAATACAACTCACACCTGTGGTCTGTCATGAAATACAACTCACAAGCATGACTTGTCGTAAAATACAACTCACAACCAAAGTCTGTCTGGAAATACAACTCACAACCAAAGTCTGTCTGGAAATACAACTCACAACCAAAGTCTGTCTGGAAATACAACACACAACCGAAGTACCGGTATGTCATGAAATACAACTCACAACCAAAGTCTGTCATGAAATACAACTCACAACCAAAGTCTGTCATGAAATACAACTCACAACCGAAGTCTGTCATGAAATACAACTCACAACCAAAGTCTGTCTGGAAATACAACACACAACCGAAGTCTGTCTGGAAATACAACTCACAACCAAAGTCTGTCTGGAAATACAACTCACAACCAAAGTCTGTCTGGAAATACAACACACAACCAAAGTCTGTCTGGAAATACAACACACAACCGAAGTCTGTCATGAAATACAACTCACAACCAAAGTCTGTCATGAAATACAACTCACAAGCATGACTTGTCGTAAAATACACTTCACAACGGTTGTCTGTCATGAAATACACTTCACAACCAAAGTCTGCGATGAATTACAACTCACAACCAAAGTCTGTCATGAATTACAACTCACAACCAAAGTCTGTCATGAAATACAACTCACAACCAAAGTCTGTCTGGAAATACAACACACAACCGAAGTCTGTCATGAAATACAACTCACAACCAAAGTCTGTCTGGAAATACAACACACAACCAAAGTCTGTCATGAAATACAACTCACAACCAAAGTCTGTCTGGAAATACAACACACAACCGAAGTCTGTCATGAAATACAACTCACAAGCATGACTTGTCGTAAAATATTTTTTATCCATCAAACAATGTGTATCCTAAATAAATTAAATAAAACTTGCCATTACCACCAAATGGCCCAAGAGGTGGCCCTCCTGCATTCTCATATATTAACCTAGACACTAAGAAGACATGGGACACATTCGTTCATGCCCAATTATAACCTATAAGCAAATTGGTTTATATCATGATCCTGCAAATTCCTAAAAGAATGCTGTTTTATACAATACCAGTCAGTTGAATGTTGACAACGACAACGACCAGATCCTCCAGGTGGGAGCACTGCGTCCACAACAAGAAGCTGCCAGCATCCCCCCGTTTGATGGTCACCGTCATCCTGTCCGCCCACTCCTGGTAATCACTAAATGGGGGCCCACATTTCAACCTGAGTATGTCATGGCCCTTGGAGCAATGAGCGTTTATGCTCAATACTGTTTCCTCAGCAACGGCAAGTTCATTCTCTGAAAGGTGTAACAAAAACACATGAAAATACATTTGAATGTAAATTGGGACACTGGTAATATATCTTAGGAAAATCATTGCTATTCTGCATCAACAATGAAACACTGGAAACAAATAAGCATGATAATAACTGATAATTTTAATAAATGCTGCAAATATGTGTTTACTATACCAGGACACGAACACATGACGGCAGATATTGGAGTCATGATGTCATGTGACCTGATGAAGACACCGAGTAGGATGTCATGTGACTTCAAGACACCGAGTAGGATGTCATGTGACCTGATAAAGACACCAAGTGGGATGTCACGTGACCTGAAGACACTGAATAGGATGTCATGTGACCTGAAGTTACTATGAACAATGTAATTTGGCTGAAAGACACACATTAAAATGTATTCTATCCAATCATACAAGTGTATGTTTGTTTGCACACTATACTGTAAGTGTAGAAACTAGTTTTTTACTCTACCACATGAATCTACTGAACCTACCCGGCGACAGAGGAATCCACTGGTCATCGCCATAGCAGTACCACAACCTCACTTCACACGATCCAGGACCACAGACATCACCTATATATACAAGAGTCCCCAACAACAATGAGTCCACTTGGCATCTATTGGGTAGAAGATGTCCCAAATTATTGTAAAGCTCTTGTCTTTGAAATCAAACTTAATTTGTGGCCAAAAGAAGGAGAGATGAACATACTTTGATGTACAATATTTTGACTCAGAGTCATTGCCATTTTCTTATAATGATAGATTTGGCATTATTTCCAGTGGAATATTTGATGCATTGAGAAAGATAAATTCCATTTGAAATGTATAAAAAAAAGAAGTCGGTATGGTATGGAATGTATTGTTTGTAAGTATTGCACTCCTTAAATCAACAACGAACTCTTTAGCCTGCAGCCTCAGCGTTTCGCGGTACTTGCTATGTATGCTAAATGGAATAAAACACTAACATTTATGATTAGTTGTTTCCTTTATATCAGATGTAATTTATGTTATCTTACTATGCATATTTTACAGATAAAAGTTCATTATTTAGAATAGTCACGCCGAGTGAAAGCCAGGCCTCATAGCTCAGGCTGACAAGGGAGAGAACTCCAGCGTATCTCGGTACAGGGAAAAGTTGTGTATGGAGGCCTGATATGGACAAAAACAGGACATAATTCCACCTTCCACTAAGTATGATGATGCCAGACTTCACTGATTGATCCAGACAAGTGCAAACATAGCACAAGAGAAATTCAGAATGTGTAATAATTAATTCACTTCCGTTACCTTACTTGTCATTATGAACATGCAGACTGTCTAGTTCAGGTCGATAGAAAAAGTTTACATGGCAAACTGCGGGTTATATCGAAGTCCATTGACAGATGGGGGTAAGGCAATATTAAAAAGATGCCAGAAATAAGTATCCATGTGTTTATAATTGCTTACTTACAGGAGTCGGAACATTACGAAGAAATTGAAATTGATATGAAGCGGCACTTCCTAGTTACTGATTTGCATTAGTAAACCACTGCTAGGAAGCAAATCCCGCGTAAACCATTGGAAATCACAAATGCCATGATATGATGAATGCTGCAGTACCACAGGGTCCGAGTATAAATCAAATATGCACTCATTAAATCAACCCTACATCTTTTAATCAACCATGCACTCTTCAAATTAACCATGCACTCTTCAAATCAACCATGCACTCTTCAAATCAACCATGCACTCAACACCATTCACAAGCCACTGCACCCGTGAAGATCCGGGGTAGAATAGATCTTCAGCAACCCATGCTTGTCTCCCCGTGAAGATCCGGGGTAGAATAGATCTTCAGCAACCCATGCTTGTCTCCCCGTGAAGATCCGGGGTAGAATAGGTCTTCAGCAACCCATGCTTGCCATAAAAAGCAACTAACGGGATCGAGTGGTCAAGCTCGCTGACTTGGTTGACGCATATCATCATATCCCAATTGCGTGGATCGATGCTCATGATGTCAATCGCTGGATTGTCTGGTCCAGACTTGAGTATTTACAGATCGCCGTCAAACAGCTGCAACATTGCTGAGTGCGGCTTTAAACAACAACAACAACAAGCCACTGTAAGCTGGCCACAACACAAGTACCTGGTGAAACACACACATACCATTTCGAACAAGATCCTCACACATAACAGCTCTATATGAAGGGGGTAGTTCCTTAGCTTCTTCATCAGTGCTTAGCCCATCACTCTCTCCCTCTCCCTCTCCCACATCAACCACAACCTCGGACTGTGACAACTGCTCACTGCCCTCACTCCTGCTGCTGGAACCGGTGCTGGTGATCACAGATGAGGAGGAGGAGGAGGAGGAGGGGGATGTGGATGTGGGTAAGAGAGACACATTCTCCATTTTTGGATTCTTCAATGATAAATCTGGAAAGGTACATTTATTTTAATTCAGAACAAAAAAAGCAACATTATGAGCGAGGAACTGCAGGAAAATGACCCGATTGATTTCTTACTTTGATTCATTGTCCATATTTGAGTCTATGATTACTTATAATCTCAAACCATCCAGGTTTCAGCTTTCAAGGACAGTTGGACTTTGATAACAGTAGCTCACCTGGATATGAAATCAACAGTTTTAATGACGAGGTGAGGTGAAATAGGGTTTAATGTCGGGTACAAGATTATTGCTCTTATATAGTGATGTATTAAAATGAATGATCAGGCAATACAAAAGGGATTCTTATTTACCCTTTTTAAGAGAGAAACCAAAATATATGACTGTGATGCCTTGAAAATATTTCAGCCATTTAATTCATTACAATCCATATATGGTTCCGGGGATGTCAGAAGAGAGAAAGTACCCCAGTAGCTGTCATTGTGCCGACCAGATTGATGATCCCACATCCGAAGGTATGACCCCTGAGGGTTCCATGTTAAATAGGACCCCAGCAACCCATGCTTGTTGTAAGATGCGATTTGGCATCCTCCCAAGGCAAGGGAGTTAACTGACTATAAAAGTCCAGTTTCCACCCTTGCCGAACTAGGCTGGTATTATGGAGTAACATTTTGGCTGGACTAATGGGTCTATGCATAGTCCAATTAAAATCGTGCAACGAAATCGAAATCCGGTTCGTAAACTGTCGTGCAGATTTCGGTCGATTGCAGGATTTGCAAAGCATGTGCACTGCCAACTCGTTGTCAACAGATATTTTCCAAATCTTTTCATGTTTTTTAATCAAGGTGCTCACGCACTGCGTGATGTAAGACCCGTTTTATCACAACATAGACCATGATTATCGATCAGATCGTCTTGACTGGGTGCCACTGTTTTGTTTGAAGCAAATGCAAGTACCCCGGTAATACGAGAGGTGGAATCTGATTGGTCTAAAGGAGAGGCTTAGAAGGGAGATAGTAATAGCCACTGGTGGCGCTACGATAGAGCCCAGGAATTCCAGCCTAGTTCCGCAAGGGTGGAAACTGGACTTTTAAAGTCAGTTAACTCTCTTGCGTCGGGAAGATGGCAATTTGGTGGCCAGGCCTAGCTTGGTGACTTGGTTGATAAAAAGCCATTGTATCTCAGTTGTGTGAACCGATGCCCATGATGTCAATCACAGACTATTATTTACAGACTGCTGTCACAGCAGGAATATTGTTGAGTGTGGCGTAAAATAACAAACACAAGGTATGGAAGCCCACTTCCATTGGATCCTATCTCAGCAGGAGAAGAGAAGGAGCGCCGTGTTCCACGCCCTGATAATGCATGTCCATCCTAACTGAATCATTCTGGTTACAAACAACCAAATATTGTATAAAGAACTTAGAAATAACCTCAGCTTCTGCCACAAGTCCAACACATGACGGATGCGCAGTGAAGAAATTAAATTTCATGAAATTGGGAAATACTTGATTTTGATTGGTCAATCAGAGGTAACAAACCACAATAACCACCTCTCATCGAAACAGCTGATAAAACCGCACTGAAATAACATTTGTAACCTTGCACTGTGAGCTCGGTTCCAAATTCAAATAACACTGTTAAATCTTCAGGTAACCTAGCTCTACATCGAAAACACAGTATGCCTATGTCCTAATTGGCGGACATCATCACATATCTCAAGCTGATCCACAAAGGAATTCACATCATTAATCTGTGGCAGAGGAGATTTCTTTGAAGAGTGAGTGAGTGAGTTTGGAAACACCGCTTTTAACAGTATTCCAGTTATATCATGGCGGGTCAGCTTAATGTGGGAGGAAAACCCAAAGTGACGCAGGTTTACCACTTCGGTGAAACCCACGAGCATAGAAACATAATCGGAGCGAACTGGGATTCGAACTCACAATCATAGGTTTCTGGCGTGCCCAAGGGACGCACAGCGAATCGCAGCGCCTTAGACGACTGGGACACCCGTGCCCCCTTTCTTTGAAGAATTCCTGACACAAGAACATACAGCAGACATGCAAAACTCATGGAAGATGTCAAAGTGAGCTAATACTTGTCCTATTCAACGTGAAAATGAATTAGTTGTAATATGAGAGTATATTTTCTAACAATGATGTGATGTGTGATGACAACTGAGACATATTTACCTCGCTTTTTTCTATGTTTTCTTCTATACATATAATATATGCATATTCCAATTACCAAGAGTACCAAAAACAGCCCGATGCATAGTGTAGGTATCTTCCAATCGTCTGCAGCTTCAGGTTCATGGTTCCTTGAAACTGACAACATTATTTGAAATAATAATGGAAAGACAACTGACAAAAAGTTTGACAGCAGATATTTAAATCCCACTTAAGAATATCACATTCAAGGTATAAATCTTTAAGAGCTTGGACTTCAATATGAAGAATGAGCTAGGAACAGATTTTGAATGCGTCAGAGAGCGTGTGAATGTGGTCTTATTCAAAAGTTAGCACTGATGGGTGCGTGGGTGCGTGGGTGGGTGGGAGGGTGAAACTGAGTGGTTGGGTGCGAGGGCTAAACCGAGTGGGTGCGTGGGTGGGTGCGAGGGCTAAACCGAGTGGATGCGTGGGTGGGTGCGAGGGCTAAACCGAGTGGGTGCGTGGGTGGGTGCGAGGGCTAAACCGAGTGGGTGCGTGGGTGGGTGCGAGGGCTAAACCGAGTGGGTGCGTGGGTGGGTGCGAGGGCTAAACCGAGTGGATGCGTGGGTGGGTGCGAGGGCTAAACCGAGTGGGTGGGTGCAAGGGCTAAACCAAGTGGGTGGGTTGGTGGTTGCGAGGGCTAAACCGAGTGGGTGGGTGGGTCTTTTGTTTGTCGGGCAGGTGGGCGGGCAGGCGGGTAGGAGGGGGGCTTGTGAGCGATTATGTAAGTTGCTTGGAGTAAGATGAAAGGCATTGCTGTGTGATGGAAGAAGGTATAAAGAGACAAGGCAGTCATTGCGAATCCTAATACAGCTTAAACCGTCATCGTTGTTGTGATGTTGCACATGTCCCAATCTTGTGGCATGAGTAGCATATTTATTTAAATCAGTTCATGCTTATGTTCTGTTAAATTGAACATTCATTCTTGCGTTGGTATTATTTGAATTTCAAAAGTAAATGTGTGTATGATACGAGTGGCAGGGTTGAAGTCAAGGGAAGAGAGTTAGTGAATATTTTGTAAAATAAACTGGGTTGCGTTGGGGTGAATTAGGTTAGCTAACAAAGTGATAACTATATATCTACCGGTAATTCATATCTGGCCATGTTATTACTCCCTACTGTGACAATTCCAATCTCATTAAAATCTAAACAAAGATCTGAGGACATCCCATTACGGGTCACGGCAGAACAACCTTTCGCGAACTTTGACCAACCACTGAAATGACTGACAAGAAGTCGACATCAGCCAATTAGAAAGCAGCTTTCTTGAGCTTTACGGCACTAGTTTCAACCTGGCGACTTCCATTTCAGACTACACTTGAAAAATAAGTTGACACAGTTCTCGATTAAAATTTTGAAAACTGGACAAACCAACATTTCGGAGTGTCTAATATATGGTTGAGATTGTATGGCAGTGCTTCCTATGTACTGTGCAACACCTCCTCCGTTCAAATGTTTATCCCACAGAATCAGTCGTACAAGCCGTAACTGTTTGGATTACACTGTGTAAAGGTTTTCGAGGTTGCATGATTAGAAAACACATTCCGACTGTCACTTTCATGATCTGGTAAGTGACACTCTGATTGGTCGGATGAAAGGTCGTTCTGATGTGACCCATAATGGGATGTCCTCAGATCTTTGTTTAGCGATAGCGAGAACTCTGATTTTAATGAGATTGTGACAATCCCGACGAGAGACCAAGGTGGCGCCTCACACATGGGGAGTCAATCCCAGGTATTCTCCTGAACCATGAGGTGACTCCAAATCCTAGCTTCCACAAGTAGAAGGTACAGATTGACCAAAGATCAGAGAAGTAAAGCAATGATTACCTGGGGCCCGCGGAGCACAGGTCTTCAAGATGTCCCACAGGCCCTGTACACACTGGAAGACTCGGGACGCGGGCTCATAGTCCGGAGGACAGGTCACCGAACATGTTGAGTTCAGTGGAAGCCAGGCGGCAGTGTCACATGACGCATTCCCATCGGATCTCATGAAGTTCTCCAATGGGCGACAACCTACGAGGATGCAATATTCCAGGAAAATCATGGCGGGGGACACCAGATATAGAAAATAGTTATCATTGTGTACTACAGATGTCTGAGAATACTACCTATAATAATATATTTAATAATAATTTAATATCTGCACATGATAGCCCCTTGTCTAGAGACCAACAACCATATTAGTTCCTAAAGTAAGGGACCAACATGGACATTGTAAACACACATATATAAATGCATTGACATCACATATTTTTCTCATAATGAACTATCAGTATAAATATTCCAAATGTAGTAAAAACATAAATATTTGTAATAAGTATGAAATGCTGATAATGCCAAAAAAGATAATTTTACGGGTTGTAGCCATCTTCCCAAGGGATTTAATTGACCATAAAAGTCTAGTTTCCACCCTGTTGAACAAAGCTGGAATTTCCAGGCAGCGCTACCATTGGCTATTATGAGTTATGTCCCTTCTATGTCCCTCCTACTGACCAATCAGATTCCATCTCTCATATCGATTGCATTTGCTAAAAAAAAATGGTGGTGTCCAGTCAAGATGATCTGATCGATAATCAAGATCTATATTGTAATAAAACGGGTCTTACCCTGCAAAGGGCATCAAAACAGGTAGGCACCTTGCTTAAAAACATGAAAACATTTGCAAAATATCTGTCGAAGATATGTTTACAGTACACGTTTTGTAAATCCTGCAGTCGACCAACATCTGCACATTTAATGCATGTTATTTACAGACCAGATGTCAAGTTCGTAACACGATTTTGATTGGACTATGCATAGACTCATAGGCCAGCCAAAATGTAACTCAAGTATTCCAGCCTAGTTCAGCAAGGGTGGAAACTGGACTTTTAAAGTCAGTTAACATCCTTGCCTTGGGAAGATGGGTTTTCACAATGCATGATGTTAATGACTTCTCGACTCACTGTGTGGTACGCAATTGACGTCCTCCCACTGTCCGTCAGTCTGACATGTGGTTGTCGCCTGGGTGGCTGCCTTACCAGGCGAGACGCAGTTGACTCGGCAGGTGTCGTAGACTCGGACAACCACATTACCGTTGTAATCCCTGCAGTCGACGTCAGCCCCCGTGATGTTCGGTGGAGCAGTGCAGTCTGAAGCCAGAACACATCAGTATTACCATGGTTACAGATAAAACATCCCTCTTAACCAAACATACAAACATTCAGAGCACCACTAAACAGGTAGTACGGAAGACACTTCCATAAAATACAGGAAATACAGTGTCTTCTGATATCAAATATATCTACACCAGTCAATAAACATTTAAACCTCAAAGGCTTGTTGAGGAGTCTTACAATTTTATCACCAAGTGTTGATATATTTGATATCAAAAGACACAAGAGTGATATTCTATTTACAATCCAAATAAAAAATTTACGAACTTTTTTCTGTTCGTAAACCATAGTACCCAGTGTCTTGAGTGTAATGCTGACCAGCTTCAGTGGCAAATAGATTCAATAGTGATGACATTTGATTGTGAGATTATGGTAACTGATTGTTGCGATATATGCTAGGAGAAATCGCTAGATCTCACACAATATCTCACCAATGGATGCTATAATACAGACCATTAATTTCCACATACATCGGGAGGGAGTTTAGAGTTAAGTTAATCAAGAAAACTGACAACCTACACCAATACTTAGGTCTGGCTATCGTTGTCGACATAGATCCATAATGGTAACTAAATATCGATAAATTATCAATAAATATCGGAAAAGTAACTTTAAGCAAATATGGGAGAAATTCCCGAAAATAAACATAGTTCATTTCACTGGTGAGCAGTGAAAAATTTGTTTTGTGGACATTTGAGATATAACGAAAACTGTTGCTCCCCGTCTTCAACAATTGACATTACTGACATTCACAAGTCTGTTTCGGTAAATCTTAAAACTTTATTTCATCACAATAGTTTATGTCAGTTATTATCGTGACAACAATTTCATATCGAAAATTGTTAATAGTTCTTCCCATCGAGGATAATTCAAAATATCGAACTTTTAGCCAGCCCTACCAATAATGGCTACTGGATTACTTGCACATGTACAAAGTTAATACTGAACTACCCAACACCATCCCCTGGTCATCAAGTCATATGCTTTGTTCTCTATTTTGTCATCACCATGTCTTAAACTCTTAAACTCATCATACATTAAATTGTGCCTCCATCTCACATGATTTGGTTGTTTTGTTGTTTAACGCCGCACTCAGCAATATTCCAGCTATATGACGGCGGTCTGTAAATAATCGAGTCTGGACCAGACAATCCAGTGATTAATATCATGAGCATCGATCCACGCCATTGGGATCGATGACATGCATTAACCAAGTCAGCCAGCCTGACCACCCGATCCCGTTAGTCGCCTCTTACGAACAATTATTGCTCCAATTTACTTGTGGAATGTTCTCAAATTTGATATCATCTGATAACAAAAGCACTTTGTTGTTACTCTCAGTGCGTGAAGAAGCTGCTCCCCTTGGGTATTCTGGGTTTGAACTGGTCCCCAGCAACCTGTGCTGGTTGTAAGAGGCGACCAAATAAATCGGGTGACTCGGTTGAACACGTGTCATCGTATTCTGACAGCATGGATTTTTGCTCCTAATATCAATCACTGGTCCAGACACTGTTATTTACAGGCCAATGTCACCTAGCTGGAGTATTGCTGAGTGTGGCGTTTAACAACAAACTATAGACAGCGTGACCGCTGTTGTCTGTTCCATGTCATCCATAGCAATACAAATACACCTTCAATTTCCCCCAGTCATCCAAGGATAGTGACTGAATGAGGGTTTATTGCAACTTTGAACAGAATTTCAGCTATATCACAGCGTGTCTATTAAATGTGGGAGGACTTCCAGAAGCATGCAGGTCTCAGATGTTGACGACTTCGGTGAAATCCAAGATGAAATATGACAATGAGAATATCCTGAGAATACAACCATGGGGCATACTGCCTAGAAATGAGAGAGTGAGTATGGTTTTGCGCCGCTTTTAGCAATATTCCAGCAATATCACGGTGGGAGACACCAGAAATGGGCTTCACACATTGTACCCATGTCGGGAATCGAACCCGGGTCTTCGGCGTGACGAGCGAACATTTTAACCACTAGGCTACCCGACCGCTCCCAATACTGCCTAGAAACACAATCTGGGAGAACCAGATTTCGAAGACTTGACAATAGGTTCTGGCACACAAAGTGGAGGCAACTCTGAACACCATATTATGGGGCCATTGGAAATCCAATCTAGACTCACAAGCATATGTTTGTAACACTATTAGCACAATCTTCGGCAAACATATCTTCGATTTGAAGAAAAAGTTGTACCGGTAAGCTAAATGTGACGAGTTAAATAATTACTTTTAATGTATCGGTTTCTGCCTCCCTCAACGGATGCCAGCCTTGCATAAAATCTTTCTTCTTTTCCATTTAGAGTATGATTTTCAACGGGCAAGACCTTCTCAGTACACTGACTCTCAGAGCCATATTGTCTGAAACAAATATAATTATCCTTAAGTGGCATTTAGAAGCTGAAGCACCAATAAATAGTGAACAATGATTGAACAGGAATAGTACATAGTGGCACAGGTACTCATGGGAGCCTTACATGTTCCTGCTTGGTGAACTGCGAACATTGACTGGTATTCTCATCATCATGTGTGGTCATGTTAGGTATAATCACCATGATCACACATGTGTATATTCAGAATTATCATCATGATCACATTTGTATATTTAAAATTATCATCATGACCACATGTGTATATTCAGTATTATCAGAATGATCACACATGTGTATATTTAGAGTTATCATCATGATCACATATGCATATTCAGTATTATCACCATGATCACACATGTGTATATTCAGTATTATCACACATGTGTATATTCAGTATTATCATCATGATCACATGTGTATATTTAAAATTATCATCATGATCACATGTGTATATTCAGTATTATCACCATGATCACACATGTGTATATACAGTATTATCACCATGATCACACATGTGTATATTCAGTATTATCATCATGATCACACATGTGTATATTTAGAGTTATCATCATGATCACACATGTGTATATTCAGTATTATCATCATGATCACACATGTGTATATTTAGAGTTATCATCATGATCACACATGTGTATATTCAGTATTATCACCATGATCACCCATGTGTATATTTAGAGTTATCATCATGATCACACATGTGTATATTCAGTATTATCACCATGATCACACATGTGTATATTTAGAGTTATCATCATGATCACACATGTGTATATTTAGAGTTATCACCATGATCACACATGTGTATATTCAGTATTATCACCATGATCACACATGTGTATATTTAGAGTTATCATCATGATCACACATGTGTATATACAGTATTATCACCATGATCACACATGTGTATATTCAGTATTATCATCATGATCACACACGTGTATATTTAGAATTATCATCATGATCACATGTGTATATTCAGTATTATCAGCATGATCACACATGTGTATAGTTACTATTTATTATGTTTTTGTAAAACATATCATGTGGTGTCTCTTTAGGCAAGTGACTTTGTTCAAAATGTGCCTCTGTTCACCCAGCAGTGAGTGGGTACCCGGTAGGATGAGATGGTAATGTGGCTGTGAACCTTCTAGCGCCTCACAGGCAGCTTGGGTTGTATACTCCCAAGGGAGCTGAGAATGAAAATCAAGTGCTTACTGATCCATTGAACGGGGTAATAATAGTGTAGCGCTATGAGCATCCACTTGGTGAATGGAATCTGGCGCATTTAACCACTAGGCTACCCGACCGCCCCAGCAAGCTGAGAGTGTGAGGGATGTCTCCACGAACGCCCTGCTCGTTATTCACCTGATCTATAGACATACTCACTCAATATCTCTTGCAGTGCCATAAACACACCACTTCGTGACCCCATCCTCCATATAGCGGCTGAAACACGGGAAAACAAGTTAATTCATGTATCGAATATGTATGGCATTAATATTCCTATGATCATATTCAATCTGAATGATTACAAATATATTCAAGCAGAGATCTAGATAACTTTTTGAGCAATTGAGTTTTTACCCTAGAGTTTTGATTTGAATTTGGTTATTACATTTTTCATTGCGTAACCAATACTTTTTCATTGACATATTCATCAATCTATTGGGTTCCCTAAACTTAGTGAACATTTTAAAATTTTAAAAAAAATAAATAATGTTTTATATGTATATAACTGTTCTAAATATACAGGCTTGACTCAAAAAGTAAATTAGCTCGTAATTGTTTCGGAAATTAGCTCCTTCATACACATGCTGAAAAAGCTTCATTGGGTAAAAACGCATGCTGTTTTTGCACATTTGAGTTTTTCATTTAATGCATGCGTTTCTGCACGCAAGTTAATTGAAAGTAATTGGGTTTTGAATATTTTTATTTGGGGGGGGGGGATTTTACGCAAATACACTGCTTGTCTGTAGTTCTGTTTAGGGCAATTCAAAAATAATTTTGTAAAATAACAAATCAAGAGCATTTGATAGACAAATACCGAAAATACAAATAAGCACACAGAAATGTTTCTTTAATAAATTGTGAAAAGAATATTGTTGGCGATATTTACTGATTTGCATCGACAAAAGTTGACTTACAAATCTCTTTTCCCATAGTCACCAGCCACGTGTGTTACCGCTGTGAGCACCTACAAGTGATGACACACATGATAATCATGATAATAATAACTGGATGGAAAAACATACTTCAAACTAGAAACAGACTTCCGGTACTAAAACATGCTTCACAAATTTTGAGAAGGAATAATTATTGTTAGGTAGGTCTTGCATTTTAGCTTGTCAGATTTGTTTGTTTACTGTTTAATGCCACACTCAGCAATATTCCAGCTATATGCGTTTGTCAGCAAATAATCGAGTCTGGACCAGACAATCCAGTGATTGAGATCCTGCACATGCTGAAGAATGTTGTGACTCAATCATAGTGCCAACTATAAAACATGCATGGACTCGGGCATGTAGATAAGCATTACCAATTACAACAAAGATTTTCAGGACCAAATGTTTGTTTGTTTGTTTGTTGTTTAAACGTCGCACTCAGCAATATTCCAGCTGTATGACGGCGGTCTGTAAATAATCGAGTTTGGACCAGACAATCCAGTGATTGACATCATGAGCATCGATCCACGCAATTGGGACCGATGTCATGCATCAACCAAGTCAGCGAGCCTGACCACCGGATCCCGTTAGTCGCCTCTTACGACAAGCATAGTCACCTTTTACGGCAAGCATGGGTTGCTGAAGACCTGTTCTTACCCAGATCTTCAATGGTCTCGGGACCAGATGAAATTCCCCAACCATTATACAGCATAAAGTAGGGCTGGGACGGACATGACGGATAACTCAGGTACTCAGGTCGGGTGGGTCCTTAAAAGGACCGGGTACCAACAGGACTACACGGACCCATGGTTAGTCACGTGATATACTGTTTAAAGACCATAACAGTCAAACTCCATGGTTACACAAGGCGCTAAAACCTCCCATTTCTTCCTGACTATATATGCACACATTCGTTCAGACTTTATATGTTTCAGTAAAGATAGAGCTTCGGTGAGCTTCAGTTTATGCATGATCAGTGCCCCTGCTGAAAGCAGCCGGTCTCAGAAATAAATCATAAACATACAAATATTTATTATTATGTCTCCCGCCATAGTAATAAAGACCTTATAAAATATAAAATGTTATATACATACAGTAGATCATGGATATAACAAACTACAAGGGACCTGAGAAATCAGTTCGTTATATACGTTTTCGCTCGGAAACATTTCACGATTTACACACAGGGAGATGCTTAGTCAGTGATTTTGCTCTGGCCTCGTTTTGCTGACTGCATTCTTGAAACTGCATGGGTTTAATGTTTGTTTTACAGACAGGATTAGTCCAATTACACGTACGGGTAAGATTAACATAAAGCAAGTGTAACAAGGTTGAATTGTCATCACTGATTGTGTTGATTTCGCTGCTGATTGCGTTTAGTTCGCCACGGCTCCAGTAAAACAATTCTCGGACATTTGTACCCAACTTGAGACCTAGAGCTGGTACCCGGCTTCGATTGGGTCGGGTTATAGGGGTTGGGTACCTGGGTAGTAAATTTGGACTCATCCCAGCCCTAGTATAAATCCAGCCATGGTGACGATGGGAAGAAAACACAACGTTGTGTCCACGGTGTATAAGTGAACACGGACCTTTTCCGGGTCAAGTTTCCCAAAAGTAACTTACACATACGCAGACAATTTCTTCAAGAAGATGCATTTACTCCCACGCACGCTGTACGCCTCCCCTAAACAAACATCACTCAGCTCAGCACCTGGCAGGAAACCTGGAGAAGAAACGAACATCTCAATAATACACAGTGTATATGTAACATTTGCTTGTTTGTTTGTTAGTTGTTTGTTGTTTAATGCCGCACTCAGCAATATTCCAGCTATATGACAGCGGTCTGTAAATAATCAAGTCTTGACCAGACAATCCATGATTGATATCATGAGCATCGATCTACGCAATTTGGATATGATGACAAGCATCAACCAAGTCTGACCTGACCACCCAATCCCATTAGTCGCCTCTTACGGCAAGCACAGTCGCTACACAGTGTAACAAACAGGTCATGTGACTCCAGCATTATTGTGTCATAGGGCAGCTTTCATAAAGGATGTAAAATGCCAGACTCATTCAGATGCATATTAATGTTCTAGTTGAAGTTTGTTTTGAATTCTGGTGACCTTTCACAGGTAAGCCACAGTCTGTCCTACCTGGATCTTACAAGTATTATTAGCATGCGATAAACAAAGCTAGAAATTCCACTGCACCGATAGAAACTGGCACTAGTCGTATAGTCCCAACTGCCCAGTATTTAAGGTATAAGGACTAGTAGAATGTTTTTTGTTTTTTTTTTATTTATGTTTTTATTTCCCCAAGAAATATGTATACAGTCAACGAATATTTTTTTACATTCACATACATGTGTCTCAGGTTGTTACATATAATTTTAAGTACATTATAAACATCATCATAATCATCATAATGTCAGATCATGTTATGTATATATATGCGTACATTTCACCATACCATAGAGTAATATCTTGTGTATTGATGCCGCGGTTGTACAGACATTTTGTATTCTTCATCGCCAGCATACTCTTGTCAGAGGGGTATACAAAGTATGTGATCTAGACTACCAGTTGTCAGACTTTCTTTTTTGGAAGCCTCGGTGGCTGAGTGGGTTAGATCGCTGACTTTGTGTGCTGGCGATTAGGTGCCTCACTCTGGCAGTGTGGCTCAGTCCCCCAAAGAACTAGAATCTGTACTTTGCTGAGAAAATGTTATCCCAAATATAACATTTGTTACATTTGACCACTTTCTAAATGCCATTGTGTGTCCATACTGTCAATTTATAGAGGTCAGTGTCCTCTTCAAGGGTTATGCGGGATGGTCGGGTAGCCTAGTGGTTAAAACATTCGCTCATCACGCCAAAGACCCGGGTTCGATTCCCGACATGGGTACAACGTGTGAAGCCCATTTCTGGTTACCCCGCTGTGATATTGCTGGAATATTGCTAAAAGCGGCTTAAAACCATACTCACTCACTCACTTTTCAAGGGTTATACAGACTTTCAACACCTGAGGTCTTCAGAGGGGGAGGGCACTATACTACTTATGTCATGTAGGCCAATGTACACAATACACTTTACAGGGACAATGAACCATGAACCAACGCATGCTTCGGCACATTGGTGTGTGTGCAGTTTCATAATGAAGAATAACGACCCGCCAAAACAATGAACATCACACATCCTAGAGGACCAGTGAGAGATAAAACTACAGGCGACATTAACGTTTATTGCACTGTTGTACATTTGACTGATAGTGAGGCTCTTACACATTAAGTGATGACATCATACACCAAAGCTATAGGTAATAGGTCAAGGTGTTTGGACAATCATAACAATCGTCCTTAAAAAAGACAAAAAGATGGACTGATTATAACTGCTGTATAATAAAGAACTAAGAAATGCCTTATCAATAATTTTCTTTAAAATAACCTTTTCATTCTCTTGTACTGTAAGAGATAAATGACTGATAACAAAATATGCTCAACTTCCCTGAAACTGGATAACCCAGTTTAAGTCTGAACAATGAACCTTGTGGGTAGCTTTAGGTTGTCTACCCAACACAATATCAGCTTGGATATGTTTGTGTGTCTTCTCTCATCAGCTTAAGACTTCATCTGCTGCTTGTGAATGTTACCTTCGGTCTGATGTTGTCAAGATTGATGCATGATAGACATTCTTAGCAAACGGAACAGAGGAAGCAGCATTTTCATCTTCCTTCTCGTGCATGAAAATAGCCAGAGGTCATAGGTCAAGGTATCAGGATACTACAAACATTAGCCAACACATTGTGAGTGAGTGAGTGAGTGAGTGAGTGAGTGAGTGAGTGAGTGAGTGAATGGGTATTGGGTGGAGTGAGTGAGTGGGTATTGGGTGGAGTGAGTGAGTGAGTGAGTGAGTGAGTGAGTGAGAGAAACAATTGGGCCTTGACAATAGTCACAGAAAGTGTTGTTTAGCAGTGTTTAGTTGACAACCAAGTCGGCCATGCAGTCCTCGAAACCAGTATATCCAATACAGCCCATGTAAGTCTATAACAGTTAGCAAGTCTAGTCTGTGGGCTACTTTTTATTATACTTTAAGATAATTTAACTATTGTTTTTTCTGTAAAATAATTTCATTTCGGAGACTGTTAATTGTAAGTGGACATGTCAGCCAGCAACATTGTAGCCATATCAAGGAGACATGTCAGCCAGCAACATTGTAGCCATATCAAGGAGACATGTCAGCCAGCAACATTGTAGCCATATCAAGGAGACATGGCCACAGCAACATTGTAGCCATATCAAGGAGACAAGGGCACAGCAACATTGTAGCCATATCAAGGAGACATGTCAGCCAGCAACATTGTAGCCATATCAAGGAGACAAGGGCACAGCAACATTGTAGCCATATCAAGGAGACATGGCCACAGCAACATTGTAGCCATATCAAGGAGACAAGGGCACAGCAACATTGTAGCCATATCAAGGAGACAAGGGCACAGCAACATTGTAGCCATATCAAGGAGATATGGCCACAACAACATTTTAGCCATATCAAGGAGACATGGCCACAGCAACATTCTAGCCACATCAAGGAGACATGGCCACAGCAACATTGTAGCCATATCAAGGAGACATGGCCACAGCAACATTCTAGCCATATCAAGGAGACAAGGGCACAGCAACATTGTAGCCACATCAAGGAGACATGGCCACAGCAACATTGTAGCCATATCAAGGAGACAAGGGCACAGCAACATTGTAGCCATATCAAGGAGACATGGCCACAGCAACATTGTAGCCACATCAAGGAGACAAGGGCACAGCAACATTGTAGCCATATCAAGGAGACATGGCCACAGCAACATTGTAGCCATATCAAGGAGACAAGGGCACAGCAACATTGTAGCCATATCAAGGAGACATGTCAGCCAGCAACATTGTAGCCACATCAAGGAGACAAGGGCACAGCAACATTGTAGCCATATCAAGGAGACATGGCCACAGCAACATTGTAGCCATATCAAGGAGACAAGGGCACAGCAACATTGTAGCCATATCAAGGAGACAAGGGCACAGCAACATTGTAGCCATATCAAGGAGATATGGCCACAACAACATTTTAGCCATATCAAGGAGACATGGCCACAGCAACATTCTAGCCACATCAAGGAGACATGGCCACAGCAACATTGTAGCCATATCAAGGAGACATGGCCACAGCAACATTGTAGCCATATCAAGGAGACAAGGGCACAGCAACATTGTAGCCACATCAAGGAGACATGGCCACAGCAACATTGTAGCCATATCAAGGAGACATGGCCACAGCAACATTCTAGCCACATCAAGGAGACATGGCCACAGCAACATTGTAGCCATATCAAGGAGACATGGCCACAGCAACATTCTAGCCACATCAAGGAGACATGGCCACAGCAACATTCTAGCCATATCAAGGAGACATGGCCACAGCAACATTCTAGCCATATCAAGGAGACATGGCCACAGCAACATTCTAGGCATATCAAGGAGACATGGCCACAGCAACATTCTAGCCATATCAAGGGGACATGGCCACAGCACCATTGTAGCCATATCAAGGAGACATGGCCACAGCAACATTCTAGCGACCTCAAGGAGACATGGCCACAGCAACATTCTAGCCATATCAAGGAGACATGGCCACAGCAACATTCTAGCCATATCAAGGAGACATGGCCACAGCAAACAAGTGGACGATATCATGCCCAATTCTTTGGGGTGAGTAGCCAGGTACAAAGTAATATCTAGATAAGAAGGTCAAGAAATTTCACTTACATTGCCAATAAAACACGTCCTGTGGAAAACAATAAATTTCCACTTCCTGGTATCTCAATCTGAAAGCATTCATTCAGTCATCGCAAAACATAGCCTTATCACTGTTCATATATGATCTAGTAGGCCATTGTGATGTGCATCAAGTACACACCCTGTACACACACCCAGACAGCCCATCTATCATTGACATGGAAGTATACTCACCACACACCCTGTACACATACCCAGACAGCCCATCTATCATTGACATGGAAGTATACTCACCACACACCCTGTACACTCACCCAGACAGCTCATCTATCATTGACATGGAGGTATACTCACCACACACCCTGTACACTCACCCAGACAGCACATCTATCATTGACATGGAAGTATACTCACCACACACCCTGTACACATACCCAGACAGCACATCTATCATTGACATGGAAGTATACTCACCACACACCCTGTACACTCACCCAGACAGCTCATCTATCATTGACATGGAGGTATACTCACCACACACCCTGTACACTCACCCAGACAGCACATCTATCATTGACATGGAAGTATACTCACCACACACCCTGTACACTCACCCAGACAGCTCATCTATCATTGACATGGAGGTATACTCACCACACACCCTGTACACTCACCCAGACAGCACATCTATCATTGACATGGAAGTATACTCACCACACACCCTGTACACTCACCCAGACAGCTCATCTATCATTGACATGGAAGTATACTCACCACACACCCTGTACACTCACCCAGACAGCTCATCTATCATTGACATGGAAGTATACTCACCACACAACCGGTACACTCACCCAGACAGCACATCTATCATTGACATGGAAGTATACTCACCACACACCCTGTACACTCATCCAGACAGCCCATCTATCATTGACA